TGTTCCTAGAACTGCACTTTTCTGGACTGAGATGTCTGATGTTTTTCCTGCAATCTGCTTTAGCCACTCCTCCATTCTGGGGGTTACTGCCCCGAGTGCCCAGATGACCATGGGTATACACCGACATCTCCACTCTCCAGGCTTTCTCAAGTTCTTCTTTGATGCCCTGGTACTTCTCTAGTTTCTCGTGTTCTTTTTTTCTGATGTTGCATCACATGGTATTGCCACAGCAACCACAACGGCTGTCCTCTGTTGTTTGTCCACCAACAACATATCAAGAAGTCCTACCAAAGAAGAGAAATTCAGCCCACTGCCACCCTGCCAATGCATGGATGTCTTCCACAGGCTCCTCAGCTGTCACAGCACATGTGAACCGCTCTACAGTTAGGGATGGTTGTGGCTAAAACTTCCTTCTGACGTGGAAATCTACAACCCCACCTTCCTTTGGTCGTTGGCTCACAGACATGCTAAATGTTATTCAACTGGAATTGCTATGTCCATGTAAAGCTTGCTCCAGTAGCAAGCTTGAGGAGGGTTGGAGACAATCCACCACATAACTGCAGGGTGTAAGATGCTGGCAGAGAACGCATACATGGAACAACACAACCAAGTGGCTGGCATAGTGCACAGAAACATCTGTGCAGAATATGGACAGGAAGCCCCAAGGTCAAAATGGGTAACACCTCCTAGAACCAACCAGACATTGTGGTGGTCGACAAACAACAGAGGATAGCCGTTGATGTAGCAATACCAAAGGACCAACAGGAAAAAGGAACACAAGAAACTGGAGAAGTACCAGGGCTTCAAAGAAGAACTTGCAAAAGCGTGTAGTTTGTAGTGAGATTGGGGGGTTAAATTATGACCAATTAGATGTGATGATTCTATATAAATACAGAATGTCAACCTGATTGATCGTTGAATGTTTAACCAGAAGAATTCAGGATTCTTTGCTTATTCAGTGACCATGAACACACTTTGTATTAATTCAGAGTCAAGTATATAATCAAAAATAAACTTTATTTTCTAGACTAATTATAATACATGACAAGCTATGAATCGATGTGGTGATGGTGTGAAATAGTGATGTGTGATGGTGGAATGTGATGTTTATCAGAACCTTTGTATCTGGAAGAAACTGAGTTCTGGGTGTAAAAGAATTTGGTCTGCAGTAAACTAGAGTTGATTATTAATAAAACAACATCAGACGCAATCTTATCGTGTCTACGTACCCCAAAATGGAGACCCCCTTTTGGATCTGAGATGTCGGGGGGTTGGGTGACCCCAAGGTCCTGAAGGTCATAGATTGCCCGCAACGCGACCAGGCAGTCCAGAGTCGTCTCCAGGTCACAACAAACAGGTGGACTTGTTTTGCGTCTCGAACGGATGGACTCTTAGGGAGTCGTGAGGCTGTGTCAGCTTTGCAGCGTGCAAACAGGTTTGACAGGGTATCAAAGAGATATTTCAAAAGAGGCTGGTTCCAAATTGGCCACTCCGGAGCATCAGCTGGAAACTGAATCACTCGGGAAGTAAATCCTGTTTTATTAATTCCAATGTTATGATTTTCTGGCAAATCACAACATGCCATGTTAAGGATATTTTACCAAACAAACCTCAGAAACACTCCTTCTTCAGATACAAAGGTGTGCCAACTCTGTGGATATTTAATCTTTAAACTTATGTGAGAGGTGACCGTAACCGTAGTTTATATCTTATGAACCTTGTGTATGAGTGTAGATAATAATTAACTTGTTAAATCATACATTACTGATCATAATATTTGAACAGATCATTTGCAAGAACAATATTAATTTCAGCTTAATATATTTAGCACAGATTATTCAAATATTTCATTTAACTATTTTGTTCATTCTTCGTTATTTTAACAGTTCACTTTTATTCTGTGAGAAATCCAGCAGTCTGAGAAAAAGGGGAAAGCTATTGTCCGAAGACCTTGGGGAGAACACTTTGTTGACAATCTTGTTATCTTGTGTAACAAACGCTGCAGAGTCTCCTGGGCTTTAGGAGACAGAATAGAGAAATCCACCCAGTTAGTGTGCTTATACTTGCAGATGATATCGGCCAATATATAGGTGAAAAATGACCCTTTCTGGACGCTACAAGTGTGAAGGCAACGATGATGCCTGTGGTCATCAGGGGAGTAACCCCAAAACTGGAGGAGTGGCTAATGCAGATCCCAGGAAAAACATCAGACATTTCAGTCGAGAAAAGTACAGTTGTAGGAACAGCTGAGATACTGTCTAGAACCTCAAGCTCCCAGGCCTCTGGTAGAGAATCCGAGATGGGAATATATGCTCACCATGAATGTCTCAGATTTACTTAATCGTGTGTGCATAAATGCAATCTGATTTACATATTATTTTCACCAGCTGGCTTTGATTAAACAGTGAATTTGCAGTAACAGACTCATTAATATCACTCCCGGGGCACTGGGTAAAGTGCCCCTGAGCTTTTGCTAAACAGCCAATCACTCTTGGTTTCCAGTGAGAACTGGAGAAATGTTTAGCCAATCAGCATCACTAAATGTATTGTCTCATTGGCTCATAGCACCCCTGCTACTGGAAACAGCAAGCTAGCACAATAGAAGGTGCTGGATCTCCTTTCCCCTCCCTCTCTCAGCTCTCTCCCTCTAGCTGTTTTTGCAAAACAATGCAGTCAATTTGCCGCAATGCCATAGCAGCATCAGGGCCCCTTCTTGTTGTTTATAAGTGGTCAGATAGTGGCAGTAATGTGGTACAATTGTGTCCTTTTATAAAAGATTAGGCATGGCGGCATAAAGGGGGTATGGGGGCAGTCTCTGCAATGCTGCAGACTTTCATTTATCTTGGACAAAACTTGCTTTTATTGCGCCTGAAGCCGCGATTTTTACATTTTTTTAACAAGCCGCTCCTAAAGGTGTCTGTCCCCATCAGTCCCTGTGCAGTATCTGACTATCTGAGCTTCAGCTCTAACAGAGAGACGTCCATGGAGCCCTGCGGTGCTCCAGTTTGCCATCTCAGCTGATTTTGTTCAAAAAGCTAAACTTATTGCCCGTGTTTACTTTCATTTTCAATATATTTGCTGGCCGGAGCTCAGGATTAACTCCCTACATCATCATGACACCTCCCTCTGTTGTGCCATGGCGCAATAGCCATTTATAAGACAGACCATAACTGCAATATTACTACCAATGCGAGGTGGAATAAATGCTGCAAAATTTGTACAACGCTATGTGGGCACGGTGCATTTATAAGACACACCATTGCGATAATATTACGCTGATATACTAGCACGGTGTGTCTTGTAAAAAGGGTTTCTTACTCCCTCATTCACACATTTGGTTTATTTCGACAGAGCTGAAATCAAACCTGTGGCTGTTACAGTAAAATGTTTTTGTGTTTAACTTGTTATAATATAACACACAGAAAATTTTGTTTAATTTGTCACGTTTCTGCCACCTACTGGGGGCAACAGATTATTGCACTTTGTGATGTAGTGCGGATGACCAATTAAAACAAAAACAAACTAATGTCCAAATAAAATGTGAATAAGTACATTATGGACTGAAGAAAGTTTTACACGGCAGACTTGTGTATTTATTTGAACATTTTTATTAGTCTAATAATCTAAGTAGTCAAATAATTTAGGAATTATTTTTTTCTAGTTTATCTGTAAATATGATCAACGACTATCAGTAAAACTATTTGGAGAAGGAGAATAAATAATATACTTTTGGAAATGTAGGTATTTCCATCTGTTGATTAGAGAGCTAATAATGGACTTCTTTTCCCATCTAGCCCCACCAAGGATTGCTTTTCAAAAGGTGCCACTGATGGCAAAACTGGCTTATAAACTCATTCGCTGCCAACGTTTCTCGCTGATTTTACTGTTTTTTTGAGTCACAGAATGTTGCGCGCTAGAATGATGTAGACGCCGAAACAACCAAAGCAACCAAAGCAAAGAGGAGACTCACCTCTCACATCAGGAAGAACCCGCGTGTTTCGAGCGTTATCTGTTCTTTCATAATTCGTTGTCGAATTGTGATCGGCAGACGCATTTCCGGTCGTGCCTCACTTTTTTTTATTTACAGGAACGGCCCAAAAGGATCTCCTAACACATGGATGTTCTGCTTCCTGATCATGTGACGTGTGACGTATGTGGATGAAGATCGGCTTCAGGGCTGAGATGTTTGTTCTCTCAGCGCGGGGGCTCGTTCCGATGCTCAATGATGATGCAAATGATGACTTAAGTCATCATTGGCAGTGAATGAGTTAAATAAACGTGTATTTACCACTATAAAATTGTTGCGAATGGACCCATTATGCTGATGGACATAGACTATCCAGCAGCTCTCCTGAAGGACATGAACCATTTCCCTGAACAGAGGCTATTCAGAAAACAAGGTAACTTTCACACAGAAACACACACCAAAAAGGCTAGAAAGTCATTGTTAAATCCTCGATTGTTCATTGGGTGCATAGGAGTTATTTAGAATCAAATGTTCTGCAGAAATAAAAAAAATTGTATTATTTATTTATTTACATACACCACACTATAGAATACAGATTGGCAGGCATGCCAAGTCCTCTCACACTCAGAAAAAAAGTGTTGCGGGAAGAAAGATGGAAAAATTGAGTGTGTGTGTGTGTGTGTGTGAGAAACCATTAGACAGGCCAGGTGATTTTAGTGGAAATGTAAAGCACTAAGTGCTGAGGATGGAGGGAGTACTCTCTCGGTGAGATGAGCTCTTTCTCTCTCATCTGGACGCTGTTATTGTGAGAAAGCAACAAAGCAATGCATTAGGAAGCACACTGGAGCCACACAGCTTTGATGTGAGCTCGGTAACCAAGACCCAGCGGTGGCCGGCGTGTGAGCTCAGTTTCAATGGCTGTGTTGTGTAATCAGATGTGTTTACTGTGTATTCAAGTAAAGAAGTGGTGTAATCCGTCCTCAGTAAGATGCAGTTATTGAAGAAAAATAAAAGGACGAGGAAAAACAAGAGCTCAATTTGATCGAAATTCTTTATTCAGGATTCTGTAATCTTTCCATTTGATAAAAAAAACAATTCTGATGATTTTAACCTCAAATGCCACATGATATACTGGGGAACAGGCAGCTGGAATTACTATGAAACTCAGATTGTGAATATATCTGTCAAATCAGGTGGAATTAAGAAAACTGGCATCAATAATTTATACAATAAACCATAAAACACGGCATATTTCAGTACTACGTTCAAACACATTAAATGTTTAACAAATCATGCGAAACTTTATTAGTGATGAAGAACTGTGCAGCTGTTAGGTAAGCTTGTATTATCTTTACCTCGAGGTAAATTTCTCAGTTACACCAAAGTAAGAAGAATAAAGCAAAACAGTGGAGGTCTGAGGTAAGCCGAACCCGGCGCCTTTCATTTCTTCTCTAAATTACATCCAAAGACGAAGGCTTGAGTCTTGCAATGCTCTTTTCTTTACCTCCAGGCTCGTGATTGACAGCGCCATGTGCTGCCCTCCTAGCCGCTGCAGTTCACAGCCCCTGTCAGGGGGGGTGGCAAACACACAAGGCAGAGAGCGGCTGGCTGCCCCCTCAGCAGCAGGGGGCAGAGTTAGGGTGGTGTGGTGGGGTATAGAGGGTCACGGGTTCGGCTGGTGCTGGAGCACTGTTGTCAGGTGGACTGCAATGCACTGCATTTAAAAAATATATACAAAATAAAAGGAAAAAAATATCCCAGCCTTTCATCCAGAGCATCTACGGAGCTCACTTCCTCTTCCTCGGCTGGTTCTGGGCAGTGGGTGCTCTCAGCGCACTGTACTGCACCTGTAAAAACAAACAGGAGTTTGGTCAGAGGCAGGTAATCCGAGCTCAGTGGAGCGCACGGTAATGGCTCCCCTGAGGAGAGCTGGTGCAGAGAGGAAAGCGAGGCGGGCTCGCCTGTAATGAATCATTTTTTAAACACAGGAGCAGAGGGGATTAATCACAGGGAGGAAGGATTTGAGAAGTCAAGGGTTCTGTACCAGTGCCCCCCCCCCCCCCCCCTCCACATTCAGCACGAGAATCACAATATTAGAAACATGCGTGAGATGACCCACCAGGCCAGTGAAGGAGATGCTAACAGCTTAATCACTCGCTACAAGTTATGTCTCTTAAAGCAATAAAAAAAAAGTTTATGCGCAACTTTCTCCAAGACGTTCCGAACCTCAGTGACTTTAATTCCTGAAAAATAGGTTTCTAGCTAACTTAGAACCTATTTAAACTAAACTTTCACTCACTGTTTCAGATTTCATATTGATTTTGCAAACATTTCAGTGCTTTGTACAATTAGGTTCCCTTTGACACCAAAAAATACTAATAAAGTGTTCTTATCCTTTTCCAAATTACCACCAGAACGTGCCTTCCCAATCCAGAAAAGAAGGAAATCATACACACAAAGAGTTGGAATTTGAAAAGTGGCGTTTGAAGTTGGCTTGCTGAGCTCAAACAATACAACGAATCTGTTGAATAAAGGTAAGAACGCTGCTATGCTAATTAGCTGGTCTCCATTATTAGAATGGTAGATGGAATGTGGGAACAAAGTGACTGCCTCCTGCATCAGCACATGAAACTGTCCTCAGAACTGACAGATGCTTCTTATTCAGAGACAGACACTCTGTTGTCAGAAGTCCCTGTTTGAGGCACACTTTGTAGATGTGCAAAGACACTAATTGCCAAGTCACATTCGCAAGAAAGACAGGAGTCAATTTTACTGCCTTTTTTTGCCGTTTTGCATCCAACACCTATCTGAGGATTGAAGTTCTAAGTCAACAAAAACAAAATACGTGCTCTATTGTTTTGGATATCCTGTGTATATGATAAGATTATTTTTCACAGAACAAAATGAAACCCGGCTATGATGAATCTTAAGAGTGTTTTGTTATATGTTTTTTTCCTTTTGACTTTTTTTATGATTGGAGCTATTTTCAAGACGCGGTTCCTCTTTTAAACCAGGCTAAAAAGTATTGTTTCCTTGAGATTTGAAAGCGAGTCATTTTCAAAGCTCAAACATTGTATCCCAATGGGGGGAGAAAAAAAAAATAAGGGAGACATACAAAGGATTCCGAATCAAAATGTATCCGCCACCTTGTTTTGCCAACTCAGTCGGCCAAATCTCAAACAACACAGGCTCCCTCCGACATCACAGAGTCAGCAACGGCTTGCAGCAGGAGGACATCAAGGGTGCAGCTGAGAAGCAGACCGGGGTGAGAGTGCCGTGCCAGATTCAGACTGTCGGGGTTTCCGTGCTCAGTTCCGCCCGGTGAGATGAAGGCATTGTGTGGCACTTCATTTCCTGGCTACACAAAAAAATTCTCAGGCAGAGGACCGCGAGCGCCCGGCGCCACTTAGCCTGACAGCTCTTCTCAGCTCTGAGATGTAAATGCAAATGACACATCAGCCGTGGCTAATATGTAATCACATATGGCACCCAGCAAGGCGACCGGGGCTCACGAATATATTAATTGACTCCACCACCCAGAAGTGACTGAGGCCACATCAGAGTTTCTGTGCTGACACAACAGTTAGAGACGTCAGGAGCCCTCCGCCAGCGCCCGACCAATCACCGGCTCTGGTGTCACGCGGCTTCAATCAAACACACAAAATTGCTAATAACGGACAGGACTGCAGCGGTAGAGCCGAGGACAGATCTGAGCATCCTCTCGTTCAGGCGCTGCAGCGACTGCGGATGGAGATCCACTGAGGAATAATTGGGCCAGGGCTGCTTTAAAGGCGCCAGTCCATTAATAATCAAACAAAGCCAGAGGATATATTCCTGCAACACTTGGGAATTCTACTACAGCAAATAATACAGACATCTTCGGGGAATTCCATCCCTATCTGAATGCAAAATTGGACCCTTACCTTTTGAATATCAGAAGGCACCCTCTGGAGGAAATTTAGTATTTCATTATTGTCAACAGAATATGGGTTGCGCAGTTTCTTGGTGAATTTGTTAATGCCTGCAAAAACAAACAGAGAAATAATTTATGTTGTCATGCATGAGCTTATGTTTTCTGACTATGTACAAATTAAAATAAAAAGTGATCTTTTAGCTATTTTACTCCTTGAACACATTCACAACAACTTTTCCCTGACGTGTTTGCCTGAATGGGATGGTTTCTTGCGTGTCTATATTTACTTTGCACATGGACTCATACCACAGAGAGAAGAGCATCTCCGGGGTCCTGTAATGGGACTATTATATTCATAGTTCAGAACTGTGTGTACCTCAGCATGCAGACAAAGAACCTAAGGACTTAAATATGTGCAAGCAACTTGAAAGACTTGCCTCGCAACCACAGAGATAGGGGTTAACTGGGGAGGCAGAAATGAGTGTCTCAGACTGAGCATTTTTTTGTTTGATATTGTAGACTTTTTTTCTCTTTTGGTATTGATTGCGTTGAAGGCAGCGAGGAGAGCTGTGGTTGTGAGTTTGCAGCTGGAGGAAGAAGAGGAGGAGGAAAGCGATGGTAAGGGCAGCGTTTCTCTCTGACCACTGAGACGACGGTCTACTCTGTATGACAGTAAATAATGAGAGGCTAGACCAGGAGCCTACAGACTGCCCAAGGACATCATGTATTATATACAGCTTGGCTTTGTTTTCACAGCAAACCCTTGGTCATGCCTCTGCTGGGCTCTGCTGCCTCAGCCCACACTGGGCAGAGGAAACCTCTGCAACTCTGATCTCTGCAGCTTCCACACCTCTGCAAATGCACACTTTCGTTTCTTAAAAGACTACACCAGCAAGAAAATCTGAATTAACTGGTGATTTTCATTTTATTTGTCAGTGTCAACGATCAAGCGAGCAACAGATAGTGGACGGTTTTGGGAAATCACATAAAAGAGTTTGATATCTGAAGATCTGTGAATGAAACTGCACCGTTACTTACCCCAAACCAACACGATGTATCGCAGCGGGATGAAATATAGCAATGTTGCTGCTGCAAACAGCACCAAGCAGGCCAAGTAGGACATGAACGGTACAGACCAGTTGAACACACTACAAAAAAAAATAAAGTTAAACTACAGCAAATCTGTATAAAAAATGAGATAAAGTGATCAACAAACGTGACTCGTATACTTCTTGATTCGCTCTCCGATGTCTGCGATTTCTTCCAAAACATTCTGAACAGTCAGCACCACTTCCTGTACCATATGTATCTTATCCATCAAACCCTTTTTTCCAGCTTCCTGGGGGGAAAAAAGGCAAGAAAGAAAAAGTAAATGCACAGATCCTGATGAGGTGTACTGGATGTCAATTGTTGGGCAGGGTAGACAAAGACCATGCTATCATGTGTAATTTATCTATTGAATGGCCCATAATGAGCAAACACTGTACATCCTCAGACTATGCTTTTGAAGATGAGACGGACTCGGCGCTCAGAAGCTGTTATGTGGATGGATGAGAGATTTCATCTTTTGTCAGCCACGCACAATGGAGCTGTTGCACAAGTGCAGCACAATCAAGACTCTCTGGTAGATGAAAAGCACACAAAATGGCCATCTGCAATCAGGGAGACTACACGACCTGGGGAAGGAGGGCACGGGCCTCCAGACTTAGGGGAGATATTCTGTTACGGCAGCCTGAATGAGGCGAGTCGGGACAAGTTTTTACAAATATGTCAGGTCTGTCTCCCCGACCTAACCCGAACACTCTTTCCTCCTCTTAACACCAGATTTTATACATGGTTCTTGTCACCTCAACTATTTATTTTCTTGTAAAAAAAAAAACAGACAAAGTAACAACTCTGGAAAATAAGTAAGTTGCTGTATTTATGTTAGAAGAGTGTCGAGCAGTTCCTTGTTTTCTCCAAATGAAAGCAATGCAATCACATCAAGCTTGGAAATAACTGTGAAGCCTTCCAGGGCAGAGGGAGTGTGAGATAACAGGAGTAAAACAAGCTAAAGAGAGCTGAGAAGCCTCACATCAAAAGGAGGAAATAATGACAGGAATGATGACAGAGGGAAGAGTGGGAGAGAGGGGGTGAGAGTGTTAGGGGAAGGGGAGGGTTAGCTCTAATGGACCCTAACAGGAGGCTTGAGGATGTCTATATGTTTGTGTTACAAGTCAGCTGAAGCTGCAGCCTGTGTACACTGACATGGCCCAGACAGAATGCCTTTATCAGAGCTTCATGAGGCAGCCCCTGGGAACGCGCCGTCTGCCAGCACACAGAGAGACTCCCCACTGCTGGGCCCACTCTCCTCCACCGAAACGTGCAGGAAGAGAGCAATTCCCACACTAGCGGAACCTCCCCCACTGGGCTCTGATCTGGACAGACACTCAGGACTCAGCACTGTCCAAAAAAGGAAAAAACATCAGAAATATGCTTTTTTTCGCCCTCTCTCTCTTCGGATTAACATCTCATGGTCTCATCGTGGTGAAAGGCGACTATCAGGGTTTACACGTCAGACGTACTGGCCTGCATCAAGTGCGTCATTTACTTTGTGCCAAGTGTTACTGAAGTCAGGAAAATACACGTTAGTCTCCTTTAACCAGCTCAGTGACCTAGTGGTAGAGTGTCCGCCCTGAGACTGGGAGATCAGGGTTCGATTCCTGGTCGGGTCATACCAAAGACTTTGAAAAAATGGGACCCAATGCCTCCCTGCTTGACACTCAGCATTAAGGGGTTGGATTGGGGGGTTAAACCACCAAATGGTTCCCGAGCGCGGCTGTGACTGCAGCTCACCTCTCCCCCAGGGGATGGGTCAAATGCGGAGAACAAATTTCGCACACACACCAGTGTGTGTGACAACTAATGGGACTTTAACTTTAACTTTAAAGATCTACGACTCAGAAATTAAATAGGAAGCATTCACCAACAGGCAGGTTGACTTGACCACAATGAAACTAAGATCTTAAACTGTCTGTTCAGTGGTTCACTGGGTATATGATCAACAAACATTTATACAAGCTAAAACATTGTTACATCCCTGCTATGGATGAGTGATTCCCATCTTTTGAAAAAGGTTTGGCTTGCTTTTAGCACCCCGTAGTGTCCATATTTTGAACCAAAACCTCTAAACTAAATCTCCTCGCTGTGTGTTTGTCTTTTTAACACCTTAATCTAACAGCTGGAATGTCTCCCCAGCCTTCATTAGGGTCTACGGGAGTGATCTGTCACCAAAATATGCAGGAAACGTGCTGGAACCAGACTGCAGCGCCAGGTATGTCAGCAACTCCCAACAGAGAGGGCCACCAGGTTGAGGCTGCAAGTGGAATTTTCGGGCCACAGGGGTCGATAGGGGCTGGGTGGCCATAAAGGGTCGTTTTAGCAAATTCTGGCTCAAGAAAATTATTTAAAAATGTGAAAAAGTTGCTAGGTTTCCCTTTAATAAGAAGAGCTCCCTTTATTCAAATCTTCAGCAACCAAAACTGGAGTTCTTCCTGCATTATGTGATCATTTCTCTTTGTTCTGCTCTCTTTTAAACATTCACTTAAATGAAGAAAACAACAAAAATAAAAGCCTGTTCTCTTAAATGGAAAAAAAAGAGCTAACCAGGGATGGACTAAAAGAGTAAATTTTCCCTCCTCTTGATTAGAAAACCTGAGTGAAATCCCATTCTCATTCCAGATAAATTGTGCAAGCCCACTTTTTAAGGTGTGGTAATTGAGAACTAATTTGATCCCTTGCAGAAAGGTAAACACGGCCTCACAGACGTGTGCGCCGCTATCAAAGGCAGGAAATAAAAGCTCATTTAGCATAATTTTAATTAGACTGAACTGCGTCGAATTTGAATTCTCGGGCTGAATATTTATCTAGTGACGTTTGAACGTGAAAACACAAGTTTGTCTAGATGAAAAACACCCGTGTTCCAGGTGATTTATCTCATTCAGCTAAAATAAACTGAGAATAGCAGGATTTTCTTTTTGCTGGAGAAAGGCTTTAAACGTGTTGTTGGATCTCTCGGAGATTAAGGGTTGAGTGTCTGCTGGTGTGTTCAAGGAGACCCAGCGGTGACTGTGGACTGGTGGGTGAGAGATGGAGTAACCCTGAAGCCCAGTCTACCCCCCACCCCCATTTAAATCCCATGGGCAAAGCTCTGTGAAGAAGTCAACCCCAGACTAGCGCTGCCAGCCGGGGGGCAAAAAAAGGGCCCGTTTCATCTTCTCTGTTCATTTCTGTCCGAGATCCACGGACTTGTTTAGCCTCTCTGTTTCTTTATGTTATGATTAAATATTGTCTATCTGCTCAATTGATACCTAAGGCCAAAGGGAAGTCACTTTGCCCACACATAATCTGTAAGCCGTCTCCTTCCCTGAGGACAGATTTGTTCACAGGCAGAAAATCTGTTCTGTATTATTGGGCTGTAACACCGCCTCGCCTTTCGTCTCCCTTTAACGTCATGCCTTCACATTCTTACCACTCCGTCTGAGGTTTACATATTTCCTTCCTCGAGGGGGAGAGAAGCGGGAGGATACGAACATATTTGAGTGGTAATCACAACCTTTTCAGAGGGAGAAGCCTTTATTCACGTGCTGGAGAAGAGGCGAGGGGAGCAAAGCGACGCTTTGAAGTCGTCAAATTTAACACTGATCACTCTTTAACCCCAAATATTTTTTAAAGAAGACTTTGATAGGGTGTGTAACGCCGTGCTGTTTGATCTAACTCAATGATATCACATTCAACTGACAGCAAGACCATAACAAGACCTTCAAATAAGCCTCTGTAAATTAAAGCTGACAGCTTAAAACAAACATGGGTGAGTGCTTGATTAGTAAATGAAAGGAGATATTTCATTTCCTGCGAGTGTGAAAGGGCTTAGAAGGCTCTTGGAAAAGCTTTCAGTACATTTTTAAGGGGCGAAGGCTGAGTTTGCAAAGAGCACGCACAGAAACTCCCTTTTCTTGAAGGTTAAAAAATAAATAAACAGAAAAATGTTCTTTAACATTAGAAGTGTCAAGGTATGTGATTAACCCTTCCTTATTTAATAATCACAAAAACGCTGGTTTTCTTCGCCGCTGCTGCTTGTTTAGTCTGTTTTCCTTTTTTCACGGCTGTGATACAAAGTGTGGATTTCTACTCCACAGACATATCCTGCAAAGTTTCATTTGCGAATTAGCTAGCCCTTTCAGACGAGATTTGGTGGACGTGTCTGCATTTTTAAAACAAGCTGGCTCTTCAGTAGCCCCTGGTCATCGCAGAGGAATATATTGAGTGCATTATTGTTATGAATCCTGGGCCTAGACACGCAGGACAAGGGTCACTGCTTGGAGGCTCTGTGTTAGTTCCACACTTCATCGCCATAAAACAATAATGCTCATCCCCCTTAACTTTTCCTTCTTTGCAGAAAAAAGCAGGATGGGTGTAACTGAATGGTGCGATGTGTAAAAAGTGTCAATTTTTGACTGCTAAAAGATTTCTAGCGAACACCAGAGATGGGTAGTAAAATAACACAAGAGTACCAGTGTAGAGCTGGGTCACTGTTCTGTTCTTCTGGTCTAGCAGATAAGAATCTCCTTTAGTGAAAATACTAATTCAACCTCCAAAAATAGCAATAAACGGGATTTGCAACACAATTAGCATAAAATTGAACAGATGTATGTTTTTTTGTTTGTTTTTAGCTAAACTTTGTTTAAGATGCAGTGCTGTAAAGTGCTGTGTGGCACAGGTGTGCGAACAAGCAAGGGGGCTGACAAGCAGGGGCGCCCCCAGAAAATTTTGATGAGGGTGGCCAGATGGGGCCAAAGAAATTTTTTGTGGTGGCCCTTGTGGTAACTCTGGGAAAGTTTAGTTTGTGGCGATGCTTAGCACTGCTCCTTTCTTCTGTTTTATTAAAAAAGAATATGTATCCAAAACACTAAACTCAAATTTGAGAAACACAAACATTTCAGTTAAATAAATTATTTGAAATATTATTTTAGAATCAATGTTTTTATTTAATTCACTTGTTGCTGTCTTCACAAAAAACTATGGAAATATAAACTTTTTTTTTTTAATGGTGAGTGGCAGAAACATATACTTTTAAAAATGCTTATTATTTCTTTATTCAATAATTGTATAACACTTTTATTGGGTTTTACATTTATGTATTGAATAATTAAGATGAATGTTTGGTTTAAGAGAACATTAATAGGAATTATTAATACTGGTCTTCCCTGGGGCAGGGCAGCAATCTTCTAGGGGTGGCCATGGCCACCCTTTGAGGGCACCACTGCTGACAAGGACAAGGGCCACATGATCTATCTGAATTTCCTTATGTGTGAGTGGTGCTCCAACATGCTTTTAGTTTTTCTCTCATCCAACAGGAGCGTTAGCAGCTCAGTGTAGCATTAGCAGCAGCTCAGGCTTGCATTAGCAGGAGCTAAAGCTAGCGCTAGCTGTAGTTTGGCCAATTGTTCTGCCATTAGCATTACAGCAACCAGCCATTCCAGCTGTGGAGATGTCAGGCTTGCTGCCGAAAGGGGAAGTGGCCAGTCAGCACCATGTCCAGTGACAAATCGTACAGGATAAAGACCAGTCTCTTCTAATATCAATCTATCTATCAATCAATTTCCCTCTGGTATTAATAAAGTATTTTTGAATTGAAATGGATTGAATATGTTTATTTTACAACAGTTTTAAACGTTAAAACATCTTCTGGGCTCAGAAGCAGCTGCTTGACTTGCAGAGTTCGCCATTTTCCACAGTACCAGTCTTGCTGTGCCAAGCAGACTGTTAACCATATTTGGCAACCCACAATGGTGCCCTCTATTGTCTGGTAGATGTAAACATAAGCCGCAGTGTTGTGCCCATCAAAATAGCTTTTAAAGGAAATGCTGCACACCACTAAAAGCCTCGTGGAGGTATTATTTTTAAAAATATAGTTTTTTACTAAAATGTTTCATATTAAACCTTTAATATCTTCACTGAGCATCAAGTCATTATTGTGTTTATGTAGTTTAAAAAAACACATTTTGTATTTACAAGCAGTTAATAATATAATAAATATAATGGTAAAATTGTATATTAAAGTATATATAACTTACATATATTTATATACATATATATGTTTTTATTTAAATAATACTCTCACACACACACAGGTGATGATTCTGTCTCCAAATTTTTTTGAAAGAGGTAAGATAAAATACCTTTTCGTCGTCGTCTTCATCGTCACCCATGGGCATGTTCACCTACGAGAAAATAAAAGGTTCAGGGTGATTTCCAACGAGCGAGACATGTGGGCACTGAAGCATTTTAACAAACACCTAGTAATGAAATTTTCTTTGAGCACATTCACCCCTATTGGGAGAGGCTTGTTTCCATAGAGACTGCATCACAGGGGTGACCTCACACAAAAGGAGAGGTGAAAAAGGGCCATCCTCGCAAGAGCACTGTCACACCAAAGCAATCTCTTTTCACCACAACATAAGCACACAGAAAAACAGAAAGACGAAAGGGAAAGGAAAGAAAAAAAAACACATTTAATTTAGATGTTGTTGCCTAGATCACTTTATATCAAGTCATCCCTGGCCCCCACTGTGGTGCATGCTGTGACATTGCCTGGGTCCAGAGCTGTGACATTGCCAGCCATAGGGTCACAGAGGGGTGACAAAGGCTCCATACTGGATATGAGGGTGAGTCTGGATGTTTCTCTGAGACAGAATGTCTGCCAAGAGCCAAAAAGACCATGACTGGGATGCAGGCTTTGCTTTAAGGAGGGAGCGTGAACAGCCCTGGCTTCCGGCTGGTCAAGGAGGCGGAGCATAACACGGTGAAATTGTGACCCAGTGCAGTAAGAAGAAAATATGGAGTCAGGATTCAGAAAATCTGGGTTCACTTCTATAGGTGTGAAGATTTAGAGTCATTTTATTGGAGTAGCTTCTTTCTATTGGATGTTTAAATGTTCTGGTTACCAGCAGCAAGTCTGATTCATATCATTCATTCTGTGGCTGCATATAAAACATAAAACTATTTATATAAACATAAAAGATACAGCATTATGAATTATGGACGCATTCTAAAGCATAATACAGTAAAAATGGTATTTTAGCTCCTATTAGATGAAAAGACAGCTTCAGAACATGTCTTCGTTTGACGAATCAAGACAGGAAGAGGAGCGTTTAAAGACCTCCAAAAAGCTTAAAGTTGTCTGAAAAACTTTTACAACATTGTTGCATGAAGAAACTAAATCCAGATAATATACATTGAGAAGTTATTTTACTTTCTATTCTAAACCACTGACTTTATAAAGAAATGATCCATGTTGCTCAGAAACGAGTGATGTAAAAAGAAAAAAGAAAGAAAGAACATTACTGGAGGTGAGTGAGCATCTGTTTTATGATGCATTGTGATGTGGAGATAAAGGACCTTAAATAATTCATTCATTACCTAAAAAATGTCCAAAATGAATTTCATCAATGGTAATTACCAAAAAAAAAAAAAAGGAGTGCAGAAGTGCAGCGCTCAGACTGTTTATGGGAAGTCTCCATCTCAAAGTTTTAACGTTGTTTCCAAGAATTTTCTCTGTGAGTCAGTTTGAAATATTTATCAGTCCAAATTTTTGTCATAAACAGAACATTTTAATTGCATATGTGATTATAACAGCCTAAACAAAACCTTAGAAATGAATGTTTTTATGAACTTACCTAAACTGTAAGGCACATTATACGTGAAATTAAATGAAAACAAGTTGTTAAAACTTCTTTTAGACTAAAACCAAATATCTGCCTTTAAATTACATCACCTCCTTAGTACAAAACATGCCATTGCATGTACTCATATTTATAGTTTTAGTTTATTTGTTATAAAAATGATCCCCATTTCTAAAAAAAAAAGCACACAGTTTGAGAAACACCCCTAAGTGTGGTGTGCACCAGGGCTCCATTCTTAGCTCAATACTGTTTGCACTTTATTTGCTGTAGGACACATCTCTCCATTTATTTTGCTAACAATCTTTAAATCCACTAACCAATAAAGTCGGGGGATGATCCCTTTAATTTAATAACTTTTTAGCACTGTACTGCTTTTATTTATTCGTTATGTAGTTTTCTGTCTTTATTATGTCTTGTTCTTTGATGTACTTTAGAAGTGTCCTATATAAATAAATCTGACCTTGATGTTAAAGTACTAAGTAGTCACACAGAGGGGAGATGAGAGGGTGGAAAATGAGGTATATTGATAGTCATCTCATAATCAATGCAACTCTATGGATCACAATCAAATCATAAGACACCTAAAGAATAAAACCTCTTCATGCCACGTCGGTCGGTAAAAGCAGATATGTTTGTTTAAATACTGAAGAGTCCTCCCCACTCACCAGATCCTGGGTGGAGTTGGACTTTGCAGGAATCTGGAAGTAGTTCCAGAAAAGGAGCAGAAGCAGGAAGAGGGGAAGCATGAAGAGCTCCCAGTGCCACACTGTCACGAGGAAGATCTGAGGAGACAGGAGATGACAGTTTAAATCAAAGCACATCACGCTGAAGCACTCGCTTTCCGATCTCTGCAAACCAGTTCCCAAAACAAAATCTATAAAAGATTTAACCGCATCCTGAATCTCACAAGGAGAACCGAAGCACAGCAAAGCCACTGAGATTTATCGCCAGTGGCAACACATTTTACTCCTGGTGGTTTCAAAGTAATAGACATTCAACTTTTAATATCTTGAAATCCTATTTGCTGTAGCAGGGTGCTGGCGGCGTGCCTTACAGCTGAACAGAAAGCATGACATGGATAGGCATGATGTGCCGTCTTTTAACTTGCACATCAAATCCTCTTAGATTCAGAGGCTGCGGCGCTCTCTGTCAACGCACATATGGCAACTGGAGAAGCATTTGCAACATTTACCCCCTCCGTGGCGACGATACTGAGAAAAGTCAAGACCTCTAGTAGATATAAGATGGCTCACGCTGAATGAGTAATCCCTTATAATTCTGTAAAGGAGTGGTGCTAAGCACATTGCACAACACCCACTGCATTTCACAGCAGAGCGCTAATTGGATGGCTGCATTTAAGCCCATTTACTGACAGCCTAATGAGTCTGTCTCCAGCTGAAATTATCAGGAGCATGCGAGGGGGATTCATGCTAGCCGGTTGACAGGGATGAAATAAAAGTGTCCCCCACAGCAGGCCAAACCTTAAAATCTAATATAGTGTGAATTAGTGCCAATACCCTTCAACAGTCTCATTTTAGTTACCACAGACACCCTGCACCAAGTTTTCTTCCTATTTTCATCCATGATCTAAAAAGATCGTTTGCAACAGTTGGAGTCATTTGAGTTTATTTTAAACATCCACCGCATTGAGGAGCTTGCATCGAGCAATCCAGGCTCAAAGAGCTTGAGGCAGCACAGGGTACGAACAATATGTTTGATTTAAGCTTGAGACAGGAATTGGAGCTCTGAGGCCTTTAGGCCTAAATAGCAGACCCTGTAAACAGCAGACTGCTCCTGTCATAGCAGCAGCAACACAGAGTCCTGCATTTGGCTCTGGGGGGGCGGTCTACCTACTGACACACCAGGCCTAGGTTCAAGCAGCCGCCAGGGAAATGTGCATTGTGAGTAATGCAGACATCGCATTGCCCCACTGCCCCAGGCTTCACCACTGTGGACCTTATTATCCTCGAGTCCAACCTGTGAATGGGTGGGTGAGCCTAAGCATCACGTGGGAACAGAGTGGCATCACCGGGATGCAAGAACACGAACAATATGCACAATATTATAGAGTGAACAAGAGCTCGTTTGAACCGCAACAAATATCTAAAGCTGGTAAGGGCCCAAAAAAAGGGTAAACAATGAATATGCATGATGTGCAGAGATAGCTGCAGTGCATCTCTTCACTGTTATGAATAACTTACGTCATGTGTTGTCACCTCAGTTCCCACGAGGCGATTCTAAAGCGACTCTCCCCTCACCCCAGAGGAATTCTGCTGGCTTGTGGACAGGTAGCTTGTCATATTCCCAGTATCTCATAAAAAAAGCAAAAAGTAAAAGAGGGGGAGTGCGCCTGGAAACTGACATGAGCCCAGCAGGAACGCTGAACCTCCTTGCCCTCCCTGCAAAAGCTGCTACATTAACCACTAAAGTCTAATTGCTTGGTCTCTGTCTTCCCGTGCAAGTCAACAGAGGGAGCCAATTCATTTCTGCCCAGGGAGCCAGCAGAGAGAATCTGTCACAGGTATTCATAATCGCCCACTAATGCAAATTTCTGCTCGCCGAATTCCTGCTCAGTGGACAAGATAAAAGCCTACAGAAATACAACTCCTTGTGTCTAAACTGAGCACTTAAATGAGGCTATAAACCAAAACTGTCAGAAATATCTTCTCAATTCGTCCCTCATGGCATGTCAAACCCATGTGCTCAGAATTTACAGGCTTTTTGACAAGAAACAAAATAAGAGGAGAAACATCTGGGAACACCTCAGATTCATTCACTCGGGTGCACGGGCCGAGACCGCCTTCAGATGTCCGACGGTAATGAGAAGAGGCAGGACTGATCCTTCAACGAGTCTCTGCAAATTCTACAAAGTTTCTATGAAATGTAGACATAACTAATCCCTCACAGAGAGGTTTCAGTTCTGTTAGCAAGCAGCTGAGTGAATAAAGGATGTGTTACTACCACGTGCATTTAAATACTAAAACTAATCGTCATCATGATTAGGCCTTACTTTCGGGGAGCGAACATCAACTTAAGTCTTGGACATTTTCATCAAAACAATGCAAAAGTCAAGACAGACACAAAGCAGAAAGAGGTAGGTATTAACGATTTATCTGAGGATTTCGGCTTAAACCCAGAAGCAGCTCTTAATAAACAAGTGTTGGTGTGTGTAGGAAACCTCCGTTGACAAACACTATTTAGCTGAAAAATGCGTGTATGATATGCACAGTGTGCCTTCGTGGGTTAAAAAAGAGAAAAAAAACAACAGAAGAATGAATTAATGAAACTATTAGCAGACGGTGGAGTCGATGATGGAGATGCACTCTCCTTAGCCACCTGTAAGCGCTAGTGAAGGGGCAACCCTGGGCAGAGCATTTCTGCCAGGAGGGTTAAGAACGGCCTGACAGAGTTGTTTTATGGTGCCATTAATATGATTCCGCTAAATGCATTCTGCACCTTCTCATGCAGATCCCCCTGGCCAGCAGAATCCGGCACCTAATAATAAAGCACTCAGCGATTAAAAGTGTGAATAAAATAACTTAAAGCTGAGCAAGCATGGCAGCTCCCACCTCCCACTCTCTCCCAGGGGAGGAATAGGGGATCGTAGCGGGAACAAAGGGACAGAGACACCTTCCGTAAGAGCGTCCACCATTCCTCTAAATTGATTAACAAGGGGTGGCCCAAACTATGAACCTAAACCGCTGAGTGCCAGACTACAAGGCTGCCAAACAAATATTCCCCTTTTAAACTGCAGCAGACGACGGCGCTGGAAAAAATAAATAAAACAGGCATCGTGTCAGCACAGCACAAATGATACCGCTGATGAGCCAAAGAACTGCAAAGTCAAGGCAAACGGGGCAAGTAGTACCAATACAGTTTGTGCTAATACAAATATAATAATTCCACTTTCTTCAAATCAGGTACGTTTGGAATATTTCCTTACTTTGTAGCCATGCAACATCTACAGAAAACACAGAAGATTTAATCTTGGCTCCATCTTCACCGCTTCTCCTTGGTTGCACTCCACTTGGAAAGCTAAACAAAGCGAGGAGAGCGCCAGCCAGCATTATGAGGGTCAGTCATGGGGGCCGTGGATAGATGCCAGATTACGTGAACATAGGCTGAAAGACTTTAAGACAGACTAAAAAAAGGCTGCAGGGTTTGTGTCTGCATGTGTGTGGTTGTCCAAGTGCGTGAAAGAGAGAGACGGGAGGATAAAAACAGAATCATTGTGTGGTAAAATAAATAATAATAGACGCAAGCGCATTAATGGAATAAATGAATATTTTAAATGATTCATGTTTATATTTATTTCTAACCAGATTAATGAAGTAAATTTAGCTTGTGAAAGTTCTTTTTTAGTCTAGAAGAGAGGGTTGGTGCTGGGGACAGCAGCGGCAGGCTGTAAATGCAGAGCAATGAGACGTGTAATTTGTGTTGAGCTCAGGCCAGCGTGGGGACAGTCTTTCAGGGGGTGTCGGAGTCAGAGGAAGCACAGATAAGATTTCTCTCCGGGGCAGGTAGAGTGTGTGGGCAGCCGCGGCGCTCCGAGCGAGCGCTGAATAAATATTTCACATACGCTCAGCTCAAGTCTTATCATCAACCGAGGAGGGAGATGCGGAGAGGAGATGGGCAAGCAAAGGAAAGGCTTCCTCCAAAACAGAGAGCCACTTTAGCGTGTCGAAATCCCTCCATTTATTCGGGTTTACGGCAGTTAGTCTGCCTCTATTATTTCGAACTTAACTTCATGTGAAAAATAAAAGCCTAAGTTGAATAAAAAATAAATATGTCTAATTAGGATTTGTAATTTAAAGTTGTAAAACAAAATGATGGGCAAATGTCATCCCTTCTAGCATGTTTTAGTGATGCAATAACAAAAAGCAGCCGTGCAAAGCAAAGCATTAGCATTCGCTCACAGGCCCGGCTCTGGATGCTGTCTCCCCGCCTGGCTGACACATGAGGAGAGCCGGTGCGAGGCTGGAGCGGGGCAGTCAGCAGGGGCCCTGTGATGCCTGTCAGTGGTGGCTACACTGACCCTGCACTCCGGCACTGGCCACTAGTGTTTAATCCATGTCGGGAGCGTTAACACTCAGCGACCTCCTGGGTGACAGATCTGCCATGCGAGCCTTTTCCCCCTGAGGAGGTTGGGAGCAGGGCGACGAGAGAGAGCGAGAGAGAGAGGGAGAGGGAGGGAGAGGGTAGGGGAGGTAGTGGTGGCATGGACTCCCCCTGTCAGCTCAGCTCAGACACGTTAACGTGTCAGGGCCAAGACCGGCCCTGGAACAGCCACACACGAGTGGACAGGTCGCTGCCTCAGCTGCACAGAGAGAGAGGCGTCCTCCGTGAGCCGAAAGGTGGCGAGTTACGATACGGCACACACACCGGGGTCAAACACAGAGCACGCTTCAGCTAGGATGAAAACATGCTGAATACAAAACAAAAACACAACACGTACACAAATCAAATCAGCACTTTCAGGTTTAAAGGTATTTTTTTTTTGTTCTTTTAGTTTTAGAATATTTTAAGATTTTTGCCATTTTAAAGGTTTAAAATTCATTAGGAATAGAACTGGCAATGTCTGGCACTCAGGTAAGCTTCAAGGTTAGCTGGTTTCAGCTGACATCCATCTGAGGCCAGCTTACCCAAATGTAATACATCAGGGGAAATGCTGGGCAGCTCGCAAGTAGTCACAGACTAGCCTTTAATAATTAATAGATCTCAGGGAGTAAAAAAGAAAAAAAAAAAAGCACGCATGCATATCACCGTGACTGCCATCATTTTTTTCTCTGGACTAGAACGGTCCCCACTGCACCAGTGAGAACTCCCACAGCCACGGCAGTGGAGAGTACAATCCTCAAGAGGCTGCACAAGCCCACTCCTTTAGGCCTCCAACTTTTTCCAAACAGAAAGAAAGCAGATGCAGGCGAGACGATGAACAGACTCGCACGGTGCCGTTCTCACAAAAGCTCGGCCACGCTGCAGTGCAGCAAACCACAAAAGAACACGTCCGAGTCTCACCAAGGCATCTCATTTTTAGAGGCGGCGTTAACAAGAACAATTATGACAACTCTGATTAGCGGCCTTGATCTTGGCTGGGCTGGTGTTCTCGTTAATGGCTCGACTTGCCGGGGCTCTACTAAGGTGGTCTCCCGAGACCTCTGGAGCCAGATCTGACCCTGTCCTGCCCTCATCTGGGGAGAGGAGCATTCTATCAGCGCCGGTCGCAGCTGCCAAGCGTGTTTACAGCTGCACCGCATCAAACATTCATCAAATGCCATCTTTACAGTGTGTGATGTGAGGCAATCAGCATTTCACAGGCTGTCAAACGATGTCTTAACCAGTTGCTACCTGGCGGTGTCAAAAAGAGAACGGTACGCAGGTTTCTTTCTAGTCTAAATCCTGACAGATGAGGGACCTGATTTGTTACAATATTAATTCTAACTAAATACTTAAAGTGGATTAATGACAGCAAATATCAAAATGAGCTTTAATGTGTAAATTATCCCTTTAAAAGAAAATCCTCTCATCTATTTCATCAAAAAAACTGATGAATTTGTCCAATAGTGACTTATTTAGCTTTACTTCATCTTGATCTGGTGGGGAAAAGAAACTTTTAATGCACATAATGGAGGATTTCACTCCAAGTTGTTCCCAGGAATGGCTCCTGTTAGGGTAAGTAACTGACCTGATCTCTTCAGAGCCTCGGCCGGTGTTTCTAGAAGTGCTGTAGCACCATCTACAGGGAAGCGGCTTGTGTGCAGCAAAGAACTCTGGGTGACCCCTCTGCAGTCACTGCTGATGTATAGCGCATTTATCTCGCTCAGTCTTAACGAAAAGCACATCTAAAGGCGGTTATTTTATGAAGATTTTAGCTGTCACATTTTTCTCTCTAAGAGAAGTAAACACGCTGCCGTCAAACTCCTGAAAAGCAGAGATCTTCAGCTCATTACTGCAGCATAAACAAGAAGATGGAGTGGAGGAAGAAAAAAAAGTTACAATTTCTTGTTTGTATTTCCCTTCACTGATGAAAATGTTTATGAGGATTTGCCAGAATGTAGTTGAAATGTATTCCTACGTTACCTAATTAGAGATTCTATTTTTAAAAAGGCGTTCAATTGGTGGAAAACTGAACTTTAAACTGCATGGATCGTAAGTTTGGACAATCAGAATCAAGTGACCCCCTGCACCCGCCAACGGAAAACGATGCTGCATATGTTTCTGTTCCAGAACAAAGAACAAAATCACATGGTCATGACACAAAACCAAATCAGTGCATCTTTTTTTTTATTCTTATTATTTCACGAGGAGACGAGGATAATCTTAATATTTAAATATAAAACCTCCACTTTACACAAACCGTGGCAGTGATCCCTCATGCAACAGTCGAATAACTTAAAACCCAACAACCATGTCATAATGCATACAAAAATCTGCATTAAAACGGGATCGCAACACGTAGCGTGCACATGCTGTGAGGAGGTCAGAGGATCGGCCTGTGGGACTGCGTGAAATAATGCTCGAGCATTTCTGGTAAAGCACTACGCGAGTATCCCGCAGTTGCAGCAAAGAAGAAAAAAAATTCACAGCTCTACTAATGCATTACAGGATGTGTATATATATATATATTTATGTGTGTGTCCACACACACACACATAGTGTAAGGGAGTAGGGATTGGCTAGCGTGCATGATAAATAATGCATTGTAATGTATATTACAGCGAGGCCCACCACTGCAGCGTTTCCTACTGCCACTGTGGAAAAAAGCAGACACTAGTGGTATAATTATGCACATCTGAGAGGCAAGCAGAGGCCATCTGTCAATGTCTGAATCAGTTACCTTATTACCACTGCCTAAAGATATAAAGATAGGAGTGGGAGCCGCTTTCATTAGAGCACATGGTGGCATGCTGCTTTAGACAGCTCCAAACACTAACCTAATTGGAAATGATGACTTGGAGGAGGAGAAGCGACTGTACGGTGGACAACCTTGGAGTGGGCAGGGGCACGGGTGCGGAAGGTGGCACGGCACTCGGCTTGTAATAACAGCCAGCCGAGACCTTGCTTCTGCCCTCGCCGACTCTCAGACAGCAGCGTGGACTCCGTTCTAATATTTGCATGTGATTTGCATGCTTTAGCGCTTGTTACTTGTGGAGGATATGATAAATAATTGAAAAAAAGAGAGATCTTCTCACTCAATGAACTTTCATTCCTCTGATAAGTGGCTGATGAATAACAGCAGCAGATTCACTCCGGGCACTTTTCGCCAATCGCCTTCGACATTTGGACCGTTTGAAGCGCTCCTCTTCAACAGACAAAGCCGCATTCGCTGACTTCTATCTCTCTTCTAGTCTTGCTGGTGTTTGTTGTTGTTTCAAGCGAACGGCTGAGCGGTTTGGTTCGATCTTGGGCGAATTGCAGTCTTGGAAACAGTGAGTGACTTTTAAAGTGGGTGCTGTGCGCCTAAACAGCAGGTGGAGTAGACGTGGAAATGAAAGATTAGAGTGTTTTATTGTGCGCACACCTTCGCCTGCAGAGGATCTAATTATAGGTGGAAGAAGACGGCCCCGTCCTGCTGAACCGTCACCTGTCAGACTGCCTATCCGGCCTCCCAAGTCTCCCGCTCACTGCCCCCACTCTCACTGAGCCGTCTTCCTCTTTCTCTGCTCCAACTTTCTTTCCCAGATAGTAGTCTGCCTCCCACTCTATCCTTATACAATCGCCAGCATTGTTCTCCCTCTTCCTGTCTGCCCGTCTGTCTTGTCTGTCTGTCTGTCTGTCTGTGTGCTGTGCTGTTCTAAAGGCTGTGATACATTGAGCCCGGCCATCGCCTGAGGGGATTTGCACCTTGGTATCAGTGAGAAGGGCTTATAGAATACACCAGGTATGAATTGCATGTCATTCAGAGACAGAGCAGACAGAAGAAAGGCGGTGAAAGGAGAGTTTTTCACACACCCTGTCTGTGACCGCTTCCTCACCCTGACACAGCGCTGTCAGGGTTTTTATGGCAATTGTACACTCTTAATCATGACATTACATGTGCTGTGTTGCGGGAGATTCACGAGATGATTTAAGATTATTTAAGCTTAGGACCTAAGATCACATACCCTCATTAAAAACGGCTAAACAGAGCCATTTAAACAAGGTTCAAATCTCAGAGGCTGACTGTCACTACTTCAACAAAGGAAGCTCAGACTGTGATCCTCCTTACACCATCCCCTGGGTTAGAGGGCTTTGCTAAGAAGTCAGACGTACAAACGCCAAAACCCCACCCTTTCGAACGTACTCTCATGTCATCAGAACTGAAGAAAAGCCAAGTGGGGTTTGATTCAAAGGATGAATCACGTCCATCAAAAGTGCAAGGGGGATGAAAAATAACAGAAGGCAGCAATTGTTTTTTTCCTGGGAAAGAGACTAGCCAGGAGAGAATGTGGCTAAAGCGAAGATTTGTCTCGACATCCCATTCACACGAAACTAGAGAGTTAAAACCAGGCTGCAGTGAAACGGGACAAAACTTGTTCGCCTCAAGGCTTCAAGAGAGTTCATTAGCGTGCGGCAACGACTTACCAGAAAGGTTATTAGACTCCGCCGCGTGCTCTCCCACTGAAAACAGCTTCTAATGTACTGTAACGTGTACAGAATTGCTGTGCTGATTTTTCGGACCCGATATATATTCCTGGCAAGAATCTGGAGGAAAACAATTAGAAAGCAAGGGTTAGCATATTTTGATGGAGGACATAATGTTTACCACTTTGAATTAGCTTTACAAGTGCTGCTCAGAGGTTCAAGACTGTTAAAGAAATGCGCTGTAACTTGAACCAATCTAAACTAGTGGGGTGTGACCTTCTTTTGTTCAACTTTCTACATTTTCTTGGGGGGAAAAACAGAGAGAGATCACCTTTTTGTTGAACTTCAGGTTTTCTTCCACTAATTTCGCCTCTTTAGGTTTGAAGGTTCTGAGGCCAGCTCTGACCTGAGATCAGGAGCACAGATTTTTACTGGAGTTTAACAACTCTTACTTGGTATCATGTTAATGCTTTCAATTGAACTTGACCACATTCATACTTTGTTATAGATGACCTCCATTACAAGTGTGATGGTTCCTTTAGAAGCAGTTCTTCCCAGGTCTTCTTTCTTCAAGAACAGACTGATCAGCTGACCATTCTTAATCTTTAGGTAAAACAATACAAAGCATTTGCTGGATGGGCTTCAAAACTTTTTTATATTTTTACTAAATTCAACTTACTGTCAGCAAAGGGATAGCCACTTTCCCCAAGAAGTTATCTCCATTTTCGTCAAGAACGGTCAGCTCCACCACATCATGGATGTCCTTAATCGGGCTTTAAAATGCATTAAAAAACAAACTGTAATTTAGACTTTTAACATCCAATAAAATTAAAAAAAAAAACAGACAATGAGATTTTTAAAATATTTCTCCTCACAATGTAAAGGTTTTGTTCCACTCTGGATTGACGGTTTTGAAAACTGTGTGAGTATGAAGTTTGCAGTTCCCGAGCTCGACGACACAGTAGGGGTTGCTTTTTCCTGCAAACGATGAAAGACGTTTTATTGTATAATGCAATGAGGTCATTGCTACGAGTACGGCAAATGTAAAACCAGAAGGCTTTTTACCGTTGATGTCTGTCGCTGGAAGATCGTTTGCTTTCAACACGCTGACCTGAAGGAAACCGACTTCCCGTAAACACTTGTGAGAGTTTTTTAAACTCTGAAAGAAACACCATTAAAATATTTTTTTAATTTATAGAAAAGTGCAACGTTTATTTAATAAATGTGAGCTGATGTACAGGTGCTAGTCATAAAATTTGAATATCATGACAAAGTTGATCTATTTTATTAATTCCATTTAAAAGGGAAACTTGTATATTAGATCCATTCATTACACACAGAATGATATATATTCAAATGTTGATGATTGTAACTAACAACTAATGGAAATCCCAAATTCAGTATCTCAGAAAATTAGAATTTCAATTAAGACCAATGCAAAAAAAAAATAAAGGAATTTTAGAAATGTTCGACCAACTGAAAAGTATAAACATGAAAAAGTTATGAGCATGAACAGCACTCAATGTTTAGTTGGGGCTCCTTTGGCCTGCATTACTGCAGCAAAGCAGCGTGGAAAGGAGTCGATCAGTCTGTGCCACTGCTCAGGTGTTATGAGAGCCCATGTTGCTCTGATGGTGGCCTTCAGCTCTTCTGAATTGTTGGGTCTGGCGTATTGCATCCTCCTCTTCACCCCATATATTTTCTATGGGCTTAATGTCAGGCAAGTTTGCTGGCCAATCAAGAACAGGGATACCATGGTCCTTAAACCCGGTACTGGTGGCTTTGGCACTGTGTGCAGGTGCCAAGTCCTGTAGGAAACATATGCATCTCCATGAAGTTGGTCAGCAGCAGGAAACAAGACATGCTCTAAAACTTCCTGGTAGATGGCTGCATGAGCTTGGACCTCAGCAAACACAATGAACCAACACCAGCAGATGACATGGGACCCCAACCCATCACTGACTGTGGAAGCCTTATACTGGACCTCAAGCAACATGGATTCTGGCCCTTTCATCGCTTCCTCCAGACTCTGGGACCTCAACTTCTGAAGGAAATGCAACATTTACTTAAATCAGAGAACAAAACTTTGGACCACTCCACACCAGTCCAGGTTTTTGTTTTTAGCCCAGGCAAGATGCTTCTGATGACATCTCTTCTTTAAGAGTGGCTTGACACAAGGAAGCGACAGCTGGAACCATATCTTGCATACGTCTGTGAGTGGTGGTTCTTGAAGCACTGACTCTAGCTGCAGTCCACTCTTCGTGAATCTCCTCCAGAAGGAGTTTTGTTTCACAATCCTGTCCAGGGTACAGTTATCCCTATTGCTTGTACACTTTTCTACCACATCTTGACCTTCCCTTTGCCTCTCTGTAAATGTGCTTGGACACAGAGCTCTGTGACCAGCCAACCTCTTTAATAATGGCCTTTGTGTCTTGCCTTCCTTGTGCAGAGTCTCAATGGTTGTATTTTGGACAACTGTCAAGTTAGCAGTCTTCCCCATGATTGTGTAGCCTACAGAACTAGACTGAGAGACCATATAAAGGATTTTGCAGGTGTTTTGAGGTAACCAGCTGATAAAAGTATGGCACCAGTTCAATATTGAACCTTTTCATGATATTCAAATATTCTCCTTAATTCTCAGTTATAATCATCAAAATTAAAGAAATAAACATTTGAAATATATCAGTCCGTGTGTACAGCATGAATCTAATATACAAGTTTCACTTTTTAAATGGAATTACAGGAACAAATCAACTTTTCATGATATTCTAATTGTATGACCAGAAGCTGTAAACAAATGATAAACAAAAGAAAAGAAATTCCATACAAAACTGTCTGTCACTGAGTCTCTCTCATCCTGGTTTCCCAGCGTTGCGTTTTCAGTGTCGGTGATGGAGACTCCCCAGCAGGGTGTCTGGGTGACCAGAACAACCAGTTTTCCTTTTCCTGGATCCAACACATTAGTGCAGAGCTGCCTCTCATTTACAGGGAGCCTCGATACATCAACCTCAAAGCTGATATATGAAAAGAAAATTGCTCACTTAAAACACGGGTCTGACTGGTTCTGTAGACGAACCAGTAAGAGCGAAATGAAACAGGAAACACTCACGCCCCCCACGATTCCTCCCCTTTCCGCCCTCTCTTTGAGAACACCTCCACCTGCAGAGGCTCCTGGTTATCTTCAAATTGATTGAAGTCAAACTGCTCTCTCCACTGGGGATTCGCCTGAATGCAGAGGTTCTGAGGGTAACAAAAGACGTGGATTCAGCTCCTACTGTAACATGGAAACACACTAATATACACTTTGACACAATGTCAGGCTTAATGCATTATCAGACTGAGGATCTCCTCCTCCTTGACACGTGGATTAAGTCTTTGTTAAGCTTAGAGAGAAGGAGAAGGGGAAAAAAGAGGAGGAAGCAGGAGAGAGGTGTGTTGCATGTATGTGTTTGTGTGTGCTTGTATGGGTACACCTCGGTTGCCACTCTGGGATTGTAAACACTGACAGCTTCCAATTAGAATCAGCTTTGTTCAACAAACAAACAAGCAGAGAGGAAAGCGGAGTGGTTTACAAAGAAATGACACGGCAACATGAGACAAGTGCACTGCCGAATCACCAGGGGGGAGACCAACACATACAGGTAGATGAGCAGGGCATGCTGGGTATGTAAATGAAGGCGATGAAGCCCGGCATCCGCAGCACACCGAGAAGTGAGTGGCAGACTCGCCCAGTCTAATGGGCTGCCTCCGCCATGGCCCAGTGAGCCAAGGTGGAGGTGAGTCACTGACGGGCACCTGCTGGGAGGGAGACGCTGCAAAGTAAGAGATGGGAGGTGGGAGAAAGGTTAAGTATACAGAAGAGGCATTAAGACAGAGCCGTGCTAGGGAAGAGAGAGTAGTTGGAGGAGGAGCAGGAAAAGTTTCTGGAACCTTGCTCTTGTACTTCTGATCACCAAGGCGAAAGCGCACGTAGACGTCCCCCTGGCCATGCTGCGGCAGGTCCTGTCCCTCCACTAAAGTGATGTGAAGCACACTCGACCAGGTCTGGTTCTTCAGTTGGTTCTTCTGCGTGTCAGCCGAGCGTGGTGTCGCTGGGCTCTGGTTCTGGTTCTGCAAATGCACGCAAACTTACTGCTTCTAATCTTTACGCTTATTTTTGAGTCACCTTGCAGGAACGCACTGCACTCTCCCCTCCTTTTACCTGCTCCTGCCTCTCCCCTAACACCTCATCATGTTCACACATTGCACTAAAGTAGGACAAAGGTTTTTACACTATACAGGAGCATCTCTATTGGTGCGCATTAGCACATCTCTACTGACAAGCAAGGCACACCGTGGAGGCTCCAGGAAAAAAGAGGGGAACGTCAGCGAGCAGCCAGATGTCCCTGGCTGTGACAGTCCCACTCATCACTGAATCCCAGACTGAGTGTGGGGAGGCAGGACACTTGGCATACTGCACCAGAGACAGCAGGCAGCAGTGAGTAATGATGCAGACCGCACAGCTTTCTCATCAGCAAATTATGCATACATGCAGTATGTATGGCCAGCGTTAGAGTTAACTGCATGCTGGCTAATTTGTCCACTTTCAACTGAACCAACAGAATAACTTTTTTCTTGCTGTAAAAATAACCTAAACAGTTTGCTATGAGAACACCTAGGAAATTAAAAGAAAGGCTCAAATAATCTGCTTTTCTTGCTATGTGCGACAAACAGAGAGAGAGGAAGCGAGGCCTTGATGCGTTTCCATGTTGGAGTTCCCATGTTAGAGTTCCCATGAGGCCATGCGGTGATAGGCCAGGGCTGTAAAAACAAACAGCACAGAGGTTGTGTAGAGCTGACTGTAATTAAAGAGCAGGAGCGTAATCTGCTCCAGCCTCTTTGATTGCCTCGCTCCTTCGGCTGCCCCGGCGACGCCGCTTCAAACGGCCTCGCTGCGACTCCCCTGCTACTCCGGCCCCTCCTCATCGCTGCAGGGTCACAACCCACATTGCCACCCAATCCGGAGGGGATCAAAGCATATCTCAGGGACCTGAATTAACATGGAATACAACAGGCGCAGCCCTATAAATATCAGCCCCTTCAAAAGGAGAGGTACAGAGGGAGAAGGGGAGCGACAGAAAACAGGCCTCAGCCAAGTCATCCCAAGTGTTTATCTTGGACACATTTCTATCTCAGCGGCCAATAAAACAATTCCACTTAACTGTAAGTGGCCCCTATAGAGAATCTGTTCCTGGTCCTAAAAGGGCTGCGCGATTGCTTCCATATGGTGGGACAGCATGGGGACAAGCATGATGAGCTAAGACCCAGGTCCATTTGGCTGGTACCTCAGCACTGTCCATCCACAGCTGTGATATTACATTCTAACATCTGGGTTATTGCTCGCCATGCCTGGGAATTATCAGCCTTGCCGATCTAAGGCATCCCGTATTGGCAACGTGCCTCAAGCAGCCAAGTCCCCCCCACTTACACACACTCTGCTTCTCCCACATGCCCCCTCCTGTTTGAAACACTATCACACAGCAGAGTTTTACTTTGCCATTCCCAGTCTCTGTGGTGGTATCACAGAGGGAAAAAACGATGTTCCGACAGAAGGAGAGCAGTGCCGGGTATTAAGCACTTCCAGGATAGGTGTTAAACGCAATATGATACTGTACGTTTTTACCAAAATGGAAAAGGAGGGGGAAAAAACTGCTCTGTTACATTGCTAAATTAGCACTCGGATTTAGGCGGCAGAGTCCCACCACTCATCTTTTCCTCCCTTTGTGTATCTTTAACCATCTGTAGCGGATAATCTGCAGGGTGTACGGAAATGGCGTTCATTTCTTTGTCATCTAATTTCAAATTGAGATTGTCTACTGGACCATCAAGGGACTGAACAGTGGCAGATGCAGTGACAGCATAGGTGTGAACATAAACCCACTCGCTGCAACGCGAGTCCCAAACAGCAACCCTTCAATTTCACTCTGAATACAATTACAGAGGCAATAGATTGAAAACCACTTGAGGAAAAACTGAAGTTTGTTTACCGCAAAAAAGAAATGCTCCTCTGTAATACTCATCAAATCACATTTTAATTCAGTATCATTACTTAGGTTTACTAAATCTTATTGTAACATAAAAAATAAATAAATATATGTTTCAAAGAGAGTCAATAAAATATCCTCAAATAATATAAGCTGAACTGAAAACAAGGTTACACACAAAAGCAGGCATCCAGATTCTACAGTCTTTGTTCCATCATACCACGGTGAGCTACTGCCCCCTAGTGGTTCGGATAAGACCAAAGAAGAAACAATGCTGCAGTCAAAGACGTTGGTTTCAAGAAGTTTTGCCAAAAGAAAAACAAGTGAAAATGTGCTTACCTTGTTCTTTTTTGGGCGAAATCTCTATGAATTAGAAAGAAAATATTTTTTCATTACAAAAAAATATATATATTTTGATTAACATCCAACTTAAAGTGTTCTAAATGTGAGGTTTTCATACAGGGGGCCTTTTGACGGTGGCATCTCTGAACAATAAGCGGACCGAAAGGACGATAACTCCCATGTCCTGCTCTTTACTTTTTGGATCATCGAGAGGCAACTCCAACTCGTGTAGTCTGTAAAACAAAATGATTCGGTCCAGTAAACTCTGAGGAGCAACTTTATAATGATGCATCCCCTAAAAATAAGCACATAGTCACAATTGACTCAATGACTCACTTTTGCAACTCAAGATGGCCCAGAGAAATTGTGCAAGAACCCATGAAGTCATCAGAGGTGAGGTTTTTATCGTAGACCTGCAACATGACACACATCTCATCGATTCTCCTCAAATAAAATGTTCTTAAAGGTGTGGAGCACTTGTTTAATCAATACATGAGCAGTGGGTTCTAGTAGGAATGAATCCCTTGGAAATCATTCTCTAGGGAGAAGAAAAAGCTCTTGGACACCAGTTGCAGGAACTTGAAAAATGCCACAGACTGAAGAAATTTTGACTTTTACTGCGACATTGATGTTTTAGCTCCTCCACAAATAACACAAGCCTGAAGGAGTACTGCCATGTGGTGGAGTTGCTAATGCTAACAGTTGGCTTCTACTAGTGTGTTTTCTGGACGCTAAACCAACAACAGCCTTCTCCGTCATGAGTCAAGATGGGTGAGTCCACGAATGTTAAAGAGCAAGTCACCCCCTACCAGAATCTTACTCCACTCCTACTTTCTGGTCGAAAAATAGAGAGGGCAGAGCCGCTAACAAATACACACATGCAAGCTTACAACAGCATTGTGACATAATATTGCACCAGCTGACATCATAGGGTACCTCTTAGCCAATTGCAATGGCAGATTTAAAATCGAATGCAATGTTGAGTTTTTACCTGAAGGGGGCACAACGTGACAGTTTTAGGCTGAATATTTTAATTACTAAGATGCACTAAAGTGCCAAATTATTGACTACACATATCTACAGCATGGTCAGACACCCACTTATATAGTTTATCAGCAAAAAAAAAAAGTTTATTTGGGGGTGACTTGCTCTTTAAGTGACAGTGTGATGTAGATCTTTCAGGTTTTTTAAACCCTAGAGCTCCACCGTCTGTTTTCTATTAGAAATAATAATTTTAAAAAAAATTTCAGTGTTCCACACCTTTAAACTGACCTGAAATACATTTCAAAAGGACTTTAACAAATATATTCCGTCACGTCTTACCCGAAGTTCCACGATCTGATCCCTTTCCCGAAGTGGATGAGAGAAGGACTCGTTCCATTTAGGGTTCAAGTTTTTTGGAACCACTTTGCTTTTATAAAACTGTTTTCCTTCAAGTTTAAACTTCACATATGGATCACTCGTACCTGACGTAAACAAAGAGGAAAATTAGCAATCATCGATACTACTGAAGAAATGATGACAACCTGTGTTGGAGGATTCTTTTAATACTCATTGGTGTCAATATTTTTACAATTCCTAAATGTTCCAAAGGTATAAAAACAGAAATTAAAATGCACAAACAATCCACACCCTTCCCCCCATGATGATTATGTGAGATGGCGTTATGTGTGAGCAGGATGTGCACCCCACACACGGCACAAAAAAAAAAAAAGCAGGAAAGAAGCCGTTTAATTGTTAAGGAGGAGAAACACTCGCCAGCATGAGGCAACCACAACCCTAAATCTAGAAGCAACCAGTGTTAATCTCCCAAGCCTGTTAAGAAAGTCTGTCTGTGAGCGGGGCGGGGGTATCGGACGTCTTTGTTTCTGCAATTGCACGCAGATTGGCCCAAAAAATGAAAGCCAGCCCCATGCTTTCATTTGTACAGGGGAATAAAGGGGTGCTTGAGAAAGCCTGCGGGGAGGCTTGAATCACATGACAAAGGCCCTGTGGGGATGGGCTGTCAGGCCTGTCAGCTCCCCACTCCAAATGAACATCTCGCAAAAGGCAGGCAGGACCCACAGCAGCTCCACCCTGCCAGCCTGTGACAGGGAAACCTCCAGGCAGCTTGACAGGAGGAGAATGTGGCAGCTAGCAAGGAGAAAAAGCTCTGGCATGAGTGAGAACGGTGACGATGGAAATTAATAGGAGGGAGGGAAAAAATGGAGAGAACAAAAAACCCTAAGGAGTGGGGGGCTGGTGTGGGCACTTTTAGAATATGTAATGACAGTGTATGCCATTGGTGGGCCTTTGGCACAGCCCTGATTGTTGGGCAAACAGCGAAGAGACGGGAGGTGTGTGTGGGCATTGCATCAGTAGTGTTGTCGGAAAGTGTAAGGTCTCAACTAGCAGAGCACACCGAGCTTCTAGGGTCGTATTCCACCAGACATGATTAAAAGAACAACATAATTCCAGATCTTTCTAGTGATCTCTAAAGATTTACAGCAAATAATCCAGTCGCCTCGATGGTTTTACTTGCAAATTAAACACTATTTACGTATTTACGTATTTCTGAAATGCTGCCATATTAAACCGCCACCCTCAAACACATCCATCATCGTTTAATCCCAGTTTCAGTCAATTTGTTTGTGTCACACTGCAACATGATGAGAGCATACTTGTGTGGTCTCATCATGTTGCAGTTCCACGTTTGGCCACTTGAGGGTGCCGTTTCCCAAAACAAACCATGTCCTTCCAGTACAATTCTGCAAAAGGGACTAAAATGTAAAGAACGTTTACACGAACAGCTCTATTGTGTTTTCCCCTCACAGATTAATATTAACTGCAACAGGAAACTTTAGCTCAAAACACAATTTTGTTAAATACGCTAATGGTAGGATAATGGTTTAGACCTTAATAACCCAACAAAATGATTTATTTCTGAATACAACTTCAATTGTGGATAATTAGTTCGACAGGAAAGAAGGAAATGATAATTGAAATAAAACATTTTAATTGATTATCAGCTGTTTAAATGGAAAGTTTCACATACGTTGTGGGTTTGTTGTTTCAAAAACACGTGTTGACTCGGAGCGACTCCAGTGACTTTTGTTATACTGGTCCAACTACATACCTCACTTAAAGTTTGTTTGTTTGTTTGTTTTCTTGGTGCAACTTGCAGCATGACCGCACTAAAGCATTATCTCAACACACCCAAATCGCTCCTAGCACACATTAACAATAATTGAAACCATTTGTCCCATAGCTCCAAATGACAGACTGAAAATAAACCCACACTTTTTTCACATGCAGAGCTTCACCTGGGTGTCACCCTTCAGCTGGAGCGCAACATCTACATTCCTTAAAGAAACAATATGACAGCACTTTTCTATTTTCAGCTAAAGCTGTTCTAAATGACCATGGAAGGAAAGCAGACGAAGGGTGTTTTTTTTTTATGCTGAAGCTTCTGGATGTTTGTGAAGAGTTAGATCTTTTGCATTTCTTCCTACCAGATCGCCTGTCTCTGACGACCAGGTTCTTTCCTTCTCTTAGGTTGATGGTGAGGAGGAACCTCTGGAGCGGGGAAGGTACCAGAGGATCAGGGCTTGGGCCTGTTGAAGTATCCTGTGGAGAACCCGTTACCATTTAGAGGCCATTTCACATCAGCTTTGTTTCAACGAATCGATACTCACAGAATTCTCCACGAGCTCGTCGTTGTCTTCAAGCTCATCGCCTTCGAATACTTCAGCAGAATTCTAGATAAATAAAACTAGATTGTAATGTTTTATTAAACATTATCTGGATGGTAAAAAAAAATGGGTTCACTTGAAAAAGGTTGGTCATCAGTTTTAGTAGATCTGCCACCTTTGTGTTCACATAAATTAAATCTTTCCATATCATGCAGCTGACAGGTTATACAGGTTGTTGGCTGTTTCTGTGTTGTATCTGAGGGATGTCTAAAGATAAACTCTAATGTTCTCAACTCTGAAATTAAACCTGCTAATGTTGGTTTTAAAGTTAAAGTCATCATCGCACACTGGTGAAATTCATTTGACGCATCCCCATGGAGGGGAGCGGTGAGCTGCAGCGGGGGCTGTGCTTGGGAACTATTTGGTGGTTTATCTTAAAGCTGAGTGTCAAGCAGGGAGGTGCTGGGTCCCATTTTTGGAGTCTTCGGTATGACCCAGCCAGGAATCGAGCCCCGATCTCAAAGTCCCAGGGCGAACATTCTACCACTTGGCCACTGAGCTAGTTAGTTTAGCTGGTTTAGCACAATGATGTGTATTAACAAACCAATACAAAATGTGATTTACATGTGGGACACTTAGCTTCTGCTAGCCAAGACGTTCTCTGCGGTTTCCTGGACGCGAAAACAACAACAGCATTCCCTGTTACGAGTCAAGATGGGTGAGTCCATGAATGTTAAGTGACAGTGTGATGTAGATCTGTCAGCCTTTTCAAATCCTGGACTTTCTCCATCTATTTTCTATCAGACGCAGGAGATAGGTGTAGACTATTAAAGTTTAAGTCCCACCAGCTGTCACACACACTGGTGTGTGAAACTTGTTCTCTGCATTTGACCAATACAAGTAACCCCAGTATTAATGGGCTGTGTGTCACATTTAAAACATACCTTTATAAATGTGTCAAGTTAAGCAAAAAGTTACAGATCACGTGCTTTTCAACCATTTTAAATAAATGGAGTGTTTTGCTGCTACAGGGTTTGTGCAACATTGTTTTGTACAAAACTAAAATAATACACTCCCAATATATAAAGTAGTGAAAAGCTCTGCATAGAGTCCAATTCTTGGTTTGTTTGTTTTTTGTGAAATTTTATAACATTTCTTCAGATTTTTATTTATTTATTTATTTATTTGTCGCCTAACTCTGACCTGAGTCGTTCTACAATAAATTCAAATGACAGAGCAGTGTTATGACAATGACAGGAAACTAAGCAAATAAACTATTGTAAATGTAATATTATGCATCTTTAGGTATTTTGTTACTCAAAGCTTCTCACAAAGACACAACTTGTCCTCATTTCATTCGCTGAATCTATAAAACACAACAGAAATAGAAGAACTGGACAAACATAATTGTTTTTTAGCACCAACCGAGGCTTTTCCTAACAAGCTTTTATCTGAAAACGTGTCCTACACTAGATAATCAGTGAAGCACGATGGAGCTTTAAGGATTTCAGGGTTTTTAAATTCACTATGCATAATGTTCTACAATGATCAAGTAGCCAACATGAACTGAACAATGAGCTTATTAAAGCAGCCACCATTCATAAAAAAAACATTCAAACATCTTCAGAGAGTCTGATGACTTTAAAAGATTATAAGAAAAATCCCAAAACAGGCACGTTAGGTTAAATCATTGCATCGATTTGTCCACAGTTGCAAGTTTCTCTTCGGCAATGGTTTAAAATGTTTGCACAGAGCTTCATACTTTGGTAAATAACAAAAAAGGTTCTATGAAGATATCAAGTGACGTCTCTACTGACCTCCTCTATAGATTCATCTGGCTCTCCCTCCTCTATGGAGTAATCTTTCATCAAATTAGTCATCAAAGAAGTGTTATCATGTTCCAGTAGTTCATCTTCCAGGTTGGTATGTTCATCCATGACAATGTCACATGCAGAAGTGTGGGATGTTGCATCTGAACCATCAAAAGAAACATCCAACATTGAAGTCTTCTCTGCAGAGTCACTCTTATTGTTTGTTTGTGCCATCCCTTTTTCAGGTAGTGTCCTTTTTTCTACCTGAGGGCGCTTGTCCTCCCCCAGCGACTGTGCTCGGAGCAGGAAAGCAGCGACAGACTCGGAGCGCCTCCTGTCTGTTGGAGTGTCATAACTAGATAGACTCACTCTGTCGTCACCCTCGTGTTCTGGTTCAGGAAAAGAGAAGATTGGCACATTTTTCTTGGCCTTTTTATCCGCCTGCACATTGAGGCCCTCTTGAGTGGAGTTCCCCTTTTTTCCAAGACTTTTCACATTGTTTAGATCTTCATTCAAAAATCCTTCTGGAGCACTCAGTCGGTTCCCACGTGCACCCAAGTTGTTCATCTGGGGAACTTTGATTGTAACATCATCGAAGAGTTTGTCATCAAAGAGTCGTCCGTCACACGTGGAGCCACTGGCGATGGAATCGGTATCACTCATGCCAGAAGAGGTATTAAAGTAGATGGCTGCAGAAGGAGTGGGTGGCAAGGTGCCATCTGTGGAGTCGGCTTCACTCGACAAACGCGTCAGGTCAGGTACGGAAACGCTGCGTCGATTGGCCAAATTTCTTGGCTGCTTAGCAAGTAGCTTCTTACGCTTCTTCATGGGGGGAAACTTGGTTTTTATACGCAAGTTCTCGAAAAAGGCCTTTTTTTTCACTTCCATGTTGAGTTAGAGCTGTCAGACAGAAATCTAAAGTGAAAAGGGCATTCTTGTTTGTGTTTTTTTCTGTTAAACGTAAGTCATCATGAGATAAAAACAGAAACCTCTTAATAAAACATGCAACAGATTAATATAAAATTATGTTTTAATGTGTTATATGTTGGTTTTTCTAAATAAAAGCAGAGGGGTAGTTATTTAGCCATTAAAATAGCCTGCCAAATTACTTTATCATTTAGTATCTGAAACCATCTCTGCCTAAAGTTGATAAACCATAATCTGAATAACCTCATGAAACGAAGGTAGTAGACATGATTGAAAAGTATGAACACTATGGAATTAATATAATGCTTGATTTCACAATAAAGCCAATAAACAACATCCTAGGTTCCTAAAGCCGAATGTAAACAATAAATGGCATCATTTACCTGTTTAAGTGGCCTCTGATGAACGTCAGGCAACAAATTTAGTATCTGACTAGAGAATCTTCCAACCACTTGACCATCCAAGCTATGATGAACAAGAGGCGATGTGCTGTAGCAGAGAAAGCTGATTGGTGGAGAGAAAAAACACACAAGTGAAACTAGCCATTCCTGTCACACAGGTCATGTTTCCCTGAATGCCTCTGCTGAGACTTTCCCCAGCAGTCACCGATGGTTGGAGCTACATATTAACCCAGTTCTGTGAGATCCAAACATATCTGACAGCAAATAATGTGTAAATGACGCCAGTGCAGAGAGATCAACCAGACGCTGAATCAGTGAAACGTTTGTTCACAGAACAGCAGACTGTTTTGTAAGTCTGTTTGTTGTTGATTTGTATATTTGATGGTTTATTTGCATTTGTGAGGCAATTTGTCTGCTTTTAGGAGTGCATACAGCACTCTTCTCTCGGAGTTCCCTTACAGGGTCCAAGTGTTTGAAAATGTACTTAATGCCATAATCTAGCCTAATTCTTCAACACAACTGTCCAAAACAATCCTGAAATACTTCTGATTGATTCTGCGACATGAGTGGGGCATATGAAATGTCAGAACAGATCTAGCGCTAAGTTTCACATAGCCCCCATATTTGTTTACAGAGGAGCACAGTTAGCCTAAGCTCCTTAAAAACTGAGCATTTGTGTTTGCAAAGTATAAATTATAGCTCTGTGTCCACACAGAAGCTAATGCAACAGACCCACTGTTTTTCCCTCCATCTCCTTGTCTGTGCCGAACAGTGGGGACTACATGACAACAGATGTGTTTGAGTCTGGGCAGAGACTTGATCAATATTTGCAGACGTCTTAAGGAGATCAGGCCCACATGAAAGAGCCACAACTTGGCTTCTAGTTAAAAGGCAAGTTTGGATATCCGCACAGGGCAAGCTCCTGTGGCAGGTGGCCTCCCGGCCTGCGTCTCATACAACTCAAACCATCCAAAACCTTGCTTGGTTACTCTGCACATGCACACTGGACCTCATCCAGCAACCAGCACAGCTGGTCTCGTGGCTAGAAAGCCAGGAACATCAGACATTTGGGCGCATGCAAGCCCAAAACTGGATTTTATCCACTGAAATGATGACGCTTGTTAGTACAACCAGCAATATATTTGATTTAACACCTACAAATGGATTTCAGAATCTTACATTTATCCCAACACGTTTAGAAAGTGTTAAATTTGAACTTAAAATAATGAAAAATGTAAAATTTACTGATACAAAAGCTACATCCTACCTGGGCTTTTAAACTTAGCACTGATGTTGCATTCAGGTGTTGTTGGGAAGCTGGGACATGTGACCTCTCAGTGGAATCAAATGATTAAAGTAAAACCATAAAATGAAATCAGAACACAGTACATTTACTTGGAGTACAGTTTAGTTGGCGTGTAGTTTAAATTGCCACCAGGTGGGGTTGTTTCTCTGCAAGAAAAACAGTTAAAGGAAATGAAAGACCTTTTTAAAATTAACAGCTACTTTCCATTAATCTGATGACAACAGAGCATGAAGGTGTCATGGACGAACTACATCACATATTCTGTAACATTCTGAGAGGAATGTGAGTGTGTGTGCTGCCTTGACGAGTGAATTCTCCCACTGTGGGATTCATAAAGCCTATTCTATTATATTTCTCTCACTCACGTATCTCTGTCATATCTCTGATTGACAGAAGAGCAGAAATCAGTTTTCACTTTTGCTTCTGATTGGATGCACTGGCCACCATAGTTCAAACACACACTTCCTGCATGTTTTAGATGGTCCAGCACACCTGCTTTGTGTTAGTGAGTGATTAACATGCTTCAGTGGAGCCTGGAACATGGTGAACAGGTATGTTGAGTTGGGTGTATTGAAGCAGAAAAACAAGTAAATATGCAGGACACCACTGGTCTAAAACAGATTCAAATAAACATAGCTACAGCATCAATTAAAAGAGAAAAACTGTACCTGCAGGAGAGTAGCAATGGTCTTCCAGTGTTGTCTTTAGCTGTTTTAAGGTGTACGCCTTATAATAAAGCTCTTTTGAAACCGTTTTTGCAGCATTCCTCTTCAACTGCAATAAACTCAAATCTCATTCCTAAAGGCCTCGACATCTCTGAGTACGTTTAAGCCCATTTCCAAACATTCATGTTTTTACACCAAAACCTGCAGAGCCACAAATGTGTTGTGCAAAATGTTTAAAATTAGGTTTTTTCCCAGTTCAAAGACCTTTGTTATTTTCCATGACTGGTATCTTGTAAGTTTTAAAAGAAACTGATGAAACTACACCAATGATGACTCATTTCTTTTCCCACAGTTCCTGCAGAACAACAGGACCTCCCACAGGTGGAATGCAGCCGTCATCGCTCCACCTGCATGGTGTGTGTGCGGTGTTTGTTCCTAAAACCTTGTTTACCTGTTGATCCCACTCTTCTGGTTTAATGAGCTCACACTAGCGCTCTGAATGATGTCATTATGATAATATAATTGAAAGAAGCATCTGAATTTAGTTTGCGTGCTAGTACACGACTTGAGATGTTTTAAGTCTTCTCTTGTGACATTTAAACTAACTTTTGATTCTGGATGAAGGAATTTCACCTCATCCAAACTTTCAGACTTTGGAGCAGCCTATTATTTATTTAATCTAATATATATATAATATATATTATTGTAATTGTACATGTTTGCCTAACTGACAAAAATGTCCTCTTTTCTCCTACTTTTTGGTTCATGTTGAACAGTTTAAGCTAAGAGAATGTGACATCACAGTCTGGAAACCTACATTATTTTATGTATATATTTCAATTTTTAAATTGTTGCGATTGAATCTTCTTAATACAGCCTTAAAATGACAGACCAGCTGTCCGCACGTTGATCACGAGTAAATGATCTTATTAGTTGAGATCTTTATTTAACTTATGATGCTCAACAGACCAGCAAGTAATACGAGGAAAGCTTTTTATGTACTGCAGTGACCCCTGCTGGCTTAACACTGGAAATTCACATATTTCTGAACAACAAAACAAAACAAAAACTTGCTGTATCAGATGCTTTATGTGAAATACTTAATGGATCGGTATGTTACTGTGATCAGCTCTAATATTAAACGGGCATTGGTGTGATAATTGATTCAGACCTGAGCTTCACTGGCCTTAACAAGATCAGCGTTTTATCGTCTTCATCAAACAGCAAAACTCAGGGGTCTTATGTTCAGAGAAAACCTATAAAACCTCAATCACGCGTTCATCTTCAGCAGGCTGGACTATTCAAATGGTCTTTGGCTGGTCTCTCCCCAATAAAATGAAACTAAAGTAACTGCAGCTCATTCAGAATGCTGCTGCTAGAGTCATAACAACAACCAAGAGAACCGAGCACATCACTCCTGTTCTTAAACCTCCACACTGGTTACCAGTAAACTAAAGAATTGGTTTTAAAGTGCTTCTACTAGTTTTTAATCACTAAATGTCTTGGGGCCAAAATACATGTGGGATCTCCTTCCTGTATACACGCCCAGCAGGGCTCTGAGATCCTTAGAAAGCAGTCAGCTGGTAGAACTCCGGGTCAGAACCAAACAGAGTGAAGCTGCTTTTAGCTACTATGCTGCACACAGATGGAATCAGCTTCTGTATGACCTAACCCAACTCTAGTAACTTTTAAATTAAAATTGAAAACTTTCATGTATTCTTCAGCCTTGGAATGAATGTTTCGCATGTTGCACCTTCTGCACTGTAACTGCTCACCCTTTGTCTTTTTATTTTATTTCTTATATCTAATTTATTCACGTATTTAAACTGATTTTTATGATCTGCAGATGTCTGTTGTCACATTGATTTGAAGGTTTCATATTCTTGCTGTTTTGGCACCTGGAAAGCACATTGAATACTTCTGCATGGGCTGCATGCATGGTGGCGCAGTTGTTAGCACTGTTGCCTCGCAGCACGAAGGTTGCAGGTTCGAAACTCGGCTGCGGCCTTTCTGCGTGGAGTTGCGTGTTCTTTCCACGCATGCGTGGGTTTCCTCCGGGTACTCCGGTTTCCCCCACAGATCACAACATGCCCTATAGGTTATAAATTGTAAGTCGCTTTGGATAAAAGCATCTGCTAAATTAATAAACATAAACTTCTGTTTATGAAATGTGCTTTATAAACAAAGCTGCCTTGCCTTACCAGTTATCTGGTTTCTCACTGATTTAAACCCAGGTGTGGTGATATTTGCTGTTAACTGATTTAAAGGTTTATTTAAAGATCATTTGCATTACGAGACTCATCTTAGACATAAAACAGCTGATTTGTCATTCATTTAATGTATTGTTAATGAGTTGAGCAGCAGATTGTTGTGCATATTTACAGCAACATATCTGAAGCTATTCCTCTGTTCCCATAATTTCCTTTTTCAAAATTTTATTTAAATCAGGAGCAACAAATGAACCACACTTGTAGAGCACCTTTCAGTCAGAGGACTCCAAAGATACTTTACACTACAGTGCACCATTCATCCATTCACACACACTGGTAGTGTTGAGCTACATTGTAGCCACAGCTGCCCCGGGGCTCACTAACAGAGGTGAGGCTGCCGAGCCACCAGTCCCTCCGATCACCACTAGCAGGCAGGGATGGTTAGGTGTCTTGCCCAAGGACACAGCAGAATTCTCTACTGGGAACAGGGATCAAACCTGCAGCCTTCAGAAAACTGGACAACCTGTTCTACCTCCTGAGATATTGCTGCATAGCAATCACTTGCATGAACAAAACTATAAGTGCTAAATCTCCATTCCATCCCAAATAACTTATTTGTGTACAAATTCAATGAGCAGACAGATCAAGCATACACTGATGTGTTTAATAAAGTTGACCGTTTATACTGTTCGGGACTTCACAGAAGAACAAATTCTATGAAAGAGTTGTTTACTTCATTTTATACAGAATAAGAGGGAAAAAACTAAATTACACATTAAAAGCCAATATTTGTACTTTTTGTGTAGAATACAAATTTTGTACAACAGCATCTAGCATAGTATCTCGTTTCATAAAAATGTTCACTTGAGTAATTTTTGTTTTTTGAAAATAAAATAACACATTCAAGCGAAACAAAATGCATGATTAACTGAAAATCTATTTTTTTTTCTTTTTCTTAACAAATAATTTCCTCATTGGCAACAAAGTCCAGCTTGTGCCACCAAACGGTTCGAGCGCTCAAACCGAAAACAGCTTCTTCAGTTAAGTGAGCTATCAACTACAAACACTTACCAAACACTAAGTTCTGTTTTTCTTTTTTTTTATATATATAAAAGCCATGAAGCAAAGCAGTGTACTCTTGCAAAGCAAAGTGAAGAAAGTCCTCTACGGAGGTTCACTGTTACCCTTTTCCTTTTCACATTCATCAGTTGTGCACATTTAGACCAACTAGTGTATCACCGTGCATTCACCATGCATCTTCTTGTGTGAGTTTATTCTGAGAGGATTTAAGCCTGAACCATGTCTGCATTGTCTTTTCTTTACACGAGAGAAAACAATAGGGTTTCTCTTTGGGATAAGGCATTTCCTAACGGTGCATATCGACAGAGCAACTACAAAATTCCCTGATATGTCATCAAGTGCTAAAATATGTGCTCAACTACGAGGTGATGCAGCCGAGACGGGCTGACGATCCTTTTTCGTTGAAGTTGTTTATTATTATTGCTTGTTTCCCCTGCTGAGTTAAACTGGATTACAACATTCTACATCTTGTAGTACATTTACCAATATACCTGTATGAACACGAGGATGTGACCTAAACAAGTCCAGCAACTTACAACATTTGATACTTCCTGCTGTGGCACTTCAAAATAAGAGGCTAACAGTCTTTCTCTCCACCAGACAAGGACATCTTGTAATTTCAGTTTGACGTGTACTAGGCTTCCTTCTGCATAGATTGGTGTAAACTGCATTTGGTGGTGATGAGGATGGGGGTGAGGTTGTTTGATTTTACGCACACAAGATATGCAGTGGCGAATGCAGAGCAATATCTGTCTCGTACAGCGACCCTACTCATGCAAACGTGTGCCTCTCAGCAGTGAAAACCGAAGTTAGATGGTGGACGTCTCTTTTATGATGAATTGAAACAGTCACAACCCGTCTTTTACTTGCTCTCTCTACAGTGTAACGACACGGGCATCAGCTTGACTTCAGATGGTTTCCTACAAGCCCCTACTGCAGGGCTATGGTACTCTTCCTACAGGAGGGCATGAGTATTTAAGCCAATTTACATAAATGTGTTTATTTACAACCACAAATGAGCTCATGAGTTGTGTCTAAATGTTTTTGTCTTCTTTGAGTCACTAACAGGATGGTTTTAGAGAACTTCAGTTCGGTTCAAAGCAACAATAGGTTATTCTCCAATGTGTGTGTGTGTGTGTGGGGGGGGGGGGGGGGGGGGGGGCTTAGAGTTGAATGGTGGCACCAGGTGATACGACACAGCTAACGAGAAATTATCTAAAATACGTAGGAGACTAAACGAAATCTGAAATGTTTAACCTGTTCATCTTTAAGGGTCCACTTCCTGTAAACTCGGCTGTAAACCACAAAAATATACTTTTCTTGAACACGGCGGCGCATACATGGAGTGTATTCTCACACCCTGGTAAAATATATTAAAGTCGCTATTTACACAAACAAAAAGACAAAGATTTGGCTCAATTTTTTTTTTCAATTGTACGAACAGAACAGCACGTGTCCATGGCTTTAGATATCAATTCAAGATTTTTTTACACTGTAATAAAGCATATGAATAAAAATAATAAAATAAAATAAAATAAAACAATTAAAAAACAGGCTGCATTTGAGTGAGCTGTCGGGAGAGAACGGCACAAAACAACACACACAAAAATAAAACAGCTTTGGCTTATGTTACTGATGAGCTGTTACACAAATCTAAACATGTTGACTTTACTTAGCAGCTCGACTGGATCTTAGCTTCGTATTTATACAGCTTACATCTTTTAAATTACAAAATAAAGCCGCATTATTGCAATGAAATCTGGTGCTGTTTTGTTTGACCCTGCCACATTACTGCTTCGTGTGTTTTTATTATGTTTATTTTTTTTAGTTGAATAAGGTTGCTGAGTCAGAATCAGTATAATAAAAGAGGCCTCCATTTGTCTAAAGGTCTGTGTGTTTACAGCATCGTTTCAAAGACAGTTCCTGCAGTGAACGTCGTTTGTAATTAGAGTGTTCTTAGCCTGAAAGCAACAGTTTTCTCTGATTGTTTGCAAACTTGCGAGCACAACAGCAAAACAGCAACAATATGTAAAGTGTCTGACCAGATGAGTGACTACGATGATCTACCGCCTACTGTTATTGTTTTTCTTTGAACGGTTTTTTCTTCTGTAGATGCCACCTGAATTGCACCAAGTACGGTACCTGATATCACCTGCTTGTGCACAAATTCAGTCCAGCCAACTGATTTTTTTTAACTTAACTGTATCAGTTTGAGTTATTTACTTTAGATATGTCCTGATATCTCAGCCTTGCAAACTGAAGTTGAATATTTGTATCATTTTGACAGCTCTAAGGAACGCTGCTCCTTCTTTTTAACCCCAGTTCTAATCCCACGCTCTCTCTGTCTGGTTGCTGAGGAGACAGGATCAGGGCTCCTTATGTCACCCATGTGTCCATGCGCAAGCGCTTGACCGATGGGCTCTCTCTGTCCTCGCTACCAGCAGGGGGCCTTCCGAGTCCTAGCGGAGAGTGGAAGTCCGGTCGGTGGTCCTCGCGGTCGCTGCCGTCGTATGAGCTACAAGATGAGCTGAGGCTGTCGGCAGGCGAACGACCCAGGACCTCCTGCCGGCTGGACCCTTGCTGAGGCTGCTGCTGCGGAAAGCCAGACGGGGTGACCCGCTCTCGGGGAGGCGATATGGGTTCGGACTTGATGTTGATGTTCTGGCTAGTGCTGATGGATAGATTGGAGCCCTGAGGTAGGTGACTTCCACCACTGCAGCAGACAGAAACAGGACACTGTGTGTTTAGCTCAAAAAACACAAAAAAGTAAAAAAATAAAAAATTGATAATAAAATCAAGAGGAAAAAGCTGGGAATATGTAAATGTGTGATTCAGCGTGATATCACAGTGCATTGTGGGTGTTGCTTTTATGTGAGGGCATCTGGAGAGTGCGCCTTTGTTTGTAAGTGTGTTACTCACACCAAAGAATTAAGAGCTGCCTGGCCCAGTTGATGCTGTTGCCATGCCGACATGGAGCCCAGCGAGAGCCCGGGAGAGCTGAAGCTCTGTAGGGAGGAGATCTCTGCACTGCTCAGCGAGTACTCTGCAAAAACAAAAGCAGCCACACACACTGAGAACTCACATCCTACACTGTGAGCAGCTGAACCCACAACGTGCACTACAAACAGTCCCAGCTGAGGGGGTGGGGGGTTGCATGTCCAGACTCACCAGTGGGATTGTAGGAGGTGGGCATGCCTGAGTAGACCAAGCCCTGTGGGGGTAAACTGGGGGTGGTAACAGATACAACAGGAGTGGCAAGCGGCTGGTTGGACTGGGAGCTGCTTATCCTCTGGGTGTTCTGTAGGACACACACACATACAGAGAAAACACAAAAACATAAGACACTGTGTTTACAGAAGGTTTGAAATAAAAATACTTCGGCCAAAATCTTGAACTTGCAATAATGTCAGGTAGAAATCTGCCACAAGGTGGCAGTAAAGTCTAATAAATAAGAAAAAAGAAACATTTTTAAATTTCCCTTTATCACCGTTAACTAAATAACTGTAAGGTTAAAGACTTTATGGGCAGAAGGTAATCTTTACAAAATAGAAGTTTTAACATGATTTTTTTAATCACATGTTTTTCTGCATGTACGCAAAGAAACTACACTGATAGTAAGGCTTTTACCAAATATATTTTAAAAAAAGACTTTCGTTGTTCAAACATGTTTTCTGGATATCGATCAATAATTTATAACTATTTTTAAAAAATCACACTGCAGGGTTCTTCAAGTTTCCCATTTTTGTTTAAACTTAAAGAGGAAAACTCTTCATGCATGGACAGTTCAGTATAGATAAGTGGAAAGAGACTGAGAGGAAGAAAATTCAGAGTGAGACCAGAGATCAGGTTCAAACTCACATAAACCCAAATGGGATTGTGCAAGAGGAACATAAATGACACATTTTAATTCCCAGCGTGACACTAAACAGAACTCTGGTGGTTTTTAGAGTAGTGACTGGCATGCGTCCACACAAACACTCCTACACACGCTGTCGTGGCCATGCAGCAGACACTGCTGTGTGCTACAAATGCAGCCCAATAATCCAAACCAGACACACTCAAGTTCAGAACAATACTATGACATATCGTTCGTGTGTAATGTAACAAACATACACTCAGCTGCCAACGGTTACGTTTGAAGCCGCATTGCATCATAATGTTGATGGCTTCCTTGAATTGTTCCAACGCTATCCGGCCAGATGACTTCACCAAACTCAAGTGTCTCTCAGGATGATTTCATTTCAGATGATGCAAAATAAAAAAAAGGATGATGTAATCCTCAATCCATCAGAAACATTTTTTAGTAATTTATCTTTTTTATTCGTTGCTCCTAAAGTCTTAAAAATGAATCAGTGGCTAGAGTTTATAACGAATGAAGTCCTGATGAAAAATTCACATTTTGGGAAAAGAGGAGCTAGATTAAAAAGAAATGTTCACAGGCCAAACCAAAAACATGCAGTGAAAAGACAAAACACTTCTTTTTTCCTTATTGCTAACCGTCCCCACTTTTGAACAGTGGCTTCAGGTCAGCACCTAACTAGGTTCACACATCAGCCATTTTCTCAGTCAAACTCACCAAATCCATTTCCTCTTCCTCCGACTGCCCTCAACAGAAGGAAAGGAAAAGGTTACAGAAACTAAGGTGAGCATTGAACTGTTGCTCAAGTTAAACAGCGATAAGAATCAAGCCTTTCTGAAAAGTGGCAACTTTAGGCCTGTTTCCACTAAAGGAAGTTCTGGGTAACTTTACTGGACCTTTGCAGGAAGCGCATATCTCCATTTCACTGGGCCGACCCAAAACGATGATTTTTCAGACTATTTCTGGAACCGACAGGGATTTGGACTTGAACATGGCACAGTAAAGTCGCTGGGCGGGACCTGAATTTAGCTCAAGCTGATTGGTTGTAAACCCTAATTTATACGTCCCCATCTGCATCGGGACGGACGGACGCACGAAACTCCATTATCCGTCCTTGCGAGCCTGCCGGAGAGCCCTCGCAAGGACGGACGGAGTCGAGCTCTCTTTTCTTAACATCCGTCTTTCCAGATGGAGAACGCAAGCTTGTGATTGGTCAGGGCGCCCCTGCCGTCTACAGCGCCGCTATTGCGCCCTCAAAAACAAAGAGAGTAGAAGATATCTAGCGGCAGACACGGAGTAGCTTGAAGAATACCTCGGGGGAAAACTCTAAAAATATGAATATTTTATTCATACGCGACTGGAGGAGTGAAAAGGCAAGTGTTTTATTGGTGGACGGAAATGATGGGAAACGTGGGTTTAGAGGTGGCGAGCACATAAAGAGGTGGTGGAGAATGAGGGACAAATTCCCTGGTGAAGCTGATGGTGAAGTATAAATTAGGCTAAGCTTAGTAGGAAATTATATCGGAATAAATCGCTAAACAACTGACCATTGTAAAACTGGAAGAGTTACTGGTGTGGCAAAATGAGAGGAAAAGAAAATACCTCACACAGCTTTAAAATGACCATTGTTAAACTTCCAACAAGGACAAATCCTTCCAAACTAGGGCAAAATATGGTTTTTAGACCAAAATTGCAATTCCGCGCGATTGCGTGATAGTTGAAGCTGCGTTGTTGTAGCTGGCCTGCCAGACTCGTCTTCTGTTTCATTCCGCACAGAGAAAAAAACCTTATCTGTGCAGAATTAAACAGAGGAGTAGTCTGGCAGGCCAGGCTAGCGTTTTTGTAGTTGATTTTCTGATGACATACGGTAATTCAAACATGCATGTAACACGTGCCAAACTTTGGTGTTGGGAGTCGTTTTTTTTTTCTCAGAAAAAAGAATCGGACGGCCCAGAAAACATCCAGGCAGCCTGCCTTGTTAAAAAATAAATAAATGCAGGGTAAAATTCTGTATGTAGTTTTATTTAATAAATACATTTGAAAGCTTTTTCATCTTCAGTTATCCTCCTTGCATTATTAGCGTAAAACAACAAGAAGATATTTTTAGTATTAGCACCTTTACAGATAAAATCAGTCACTTAACAAGCACGTTCAAAAATGAAAAGGATTAAAAAAGATGCTGATAGAAGAAAAAAATTATAGCTTAACATTTTTATGGTATGATTTATGACTATGAAGAAAAACAGGAGTCAAATTGAAATTACAATTTCTTCTAGAAATATCGCAATTGAATATTTTCTTAAACTCATTCAGCTCTACTCCAAACTACTGTAATTTTGGCAGCTTTGTGGTTTCATACAGACCACTATTAAAAACTGCTGCTTCTTCTGTTCATTGAACACCATTTTTTACATCACAAAGCCACTCTCCCCGCCCCCTGAATGAATTAAATCATGCCGTGCGTAAACAGAGTAAAAGTTTTAATGTGTTAAATGTCTGTGAACGCCTTTTGGAGCTAATCAGTGACATCACTCACAGCTAAAATGGTCGCAATATAATGACGCCTCAGCAAAGTCTAGAAATGGCTGAATGTTTATGGATACACAACAGCTGAGACGACTGAGCCATGTATTTTCCCTGTCCCCTTCCACCCTCCCAAGAGATTTGCTGTAACTTCTATACTGGAAACACTGATTTTGGATACAAAACTGAATAAGCAGCATTATAACTTGTGTTTGGGGAACATTTCAAGATTTTACCTATTATCCTCCTACTATGTGCGGGTATATAAAGCTCTTATCTTGTAACTGATAAAGAAGGAAATTCTCGTCAAACATAGTGCAGTTACAAAACATGAGGATGATAAAACAACGTGATGCTGACAACCCTCAGAAACTACTGATAAAGACTGTTTCCTAATCATGACAAACACAGGACACTCCCTGGGCTGAAAGAAGGACCATCTTCCATCTGTTCTTTGCTATGGGACATGTTGCGACCAGGCCAGGGCTCCTAATACTCATACTCAATCAATAGATGTAGGAAGACACGACAAGGGCGACAAGATATTATCTGGCTCACACTCTGGGCCCCTGATTAAGTCTTCAGCTAGACTCTGTCACACTGAGGTGTGATTAATTTAATACCATTATGGCCTAATGACAGGCTGTCTGCAGACCTGCCACAGCCAGCATCCTCCACCTCCTCTGCTACTGTAAGATTCCTCATAGCTTAAGATAGAATGGCTCTCAGTGCATTCTGCGTAAGATCATTTGTGAAGCCAGGCATTATCACTGGGTTCTAAATAAATGTACCTAACAAAAACAAAGTCTGTTAAATTGTTTTTTACTGTATCACATCTTGTTCAGTCAGAGCCAACTGTATCCTTTCCTAATGAACCTGATCATATTGTGCAGAAATGTACCCAACCCTACCCTACCCTACCCTATCCTGTGGTATGGTACCATATTGTATAGTTTCCAAAACCATCCTATCCTATCGTATCATATCGTATCACATCATATAACATCTTATCCCATTTCATCCCATCCTACCCTACCTTATCCTAGCCAATCTTATCGTAATGTATCGTTGATCATATCATATCATATGTCATATCATATCCTATCCCACCCTACCATACCCTATCCAATCTTATTGTAATATATCATATTGTATCCTATCCCATCCCAAGCCAAACCTACTCTACCCTAACCTATCTTATATAATCCTATCATGTGGTATCATATTGTATCTTTTCCGATTATTGTATTGTTTTGCATTGTATCATATTGTATTGTATCCTGTCTAATGCCATGATATCATAGTTCATCATGCCATACTGTACACAGTTTTTCTATATGGCAATACATTCTATCCTATCCTTATATTCTATCCTACCTTACCATGCCAAACTCTATAATGTATTGGTATGACTGTCCTACCCAATCATATCATATGTAGGGATGTCCCATTCTGATTTCAATATCGGAAGTAATTTGGTATCGACCCAAAAACAGTGTATCGGATTATATCGAACTGCATCAAAAATCTCCAATGTAAGCAGTCTGTTAAGGTTCACATTTTTGCAACCAATGGTTAAAAAATAATGTCATTTTTTTCATACTTACTGTTATTGGCTCTTGTTCTCCGGTTGAGTAATATTACTTGATCAAGCCTTTCATACATTCCACACTACGAAATAGGTAAGAGTATTTATGGTTTGTGCCGACTTCGTACTGGATTGATATCGGTATTGGTCAATACTGAAGGCTGCAATATCGGTATCGTATCTGAAGTGAAAAAGTTGTATCGCATTCCTAATCATATGAAACTGTTGTCAATTTATCATACAGACATGTTTATATATATTTTCAAGGAAAGCTGAAAATAAAGAAAGGCACCATGAGTAAACTAATGTTTACATAAAACCTTTTTTCTTCTAGAATGTCTGCTTTTATTGAACCACTTGTACCATACAAAGCCATAAACTTCTGATTCAGCCCCACATCTTCACTGTGACGAGGATGTGGTGCAATGCCATATTTGTAATTAAAGAAAGCCGCTCACTTAAACAGGAATACTTGCTGAAAGTTTCCTCAGACTCTTGCCTCGGTCCACAAATTTCATGGAGGCAATTAAAGTGAATCACAGTGCATGGGGAACAATACTCAGCTAAGGTAAGGTAAACAAAGTCCTCAGTGAGGTGACAATCTGAATTGTGCCCCTTTTAGATAACTATGATGACACCTGTACAGGCAACGCTCAGCAAAAACAACCAACTACTTGACAAAGATCCTCAGGCCACTGATATTTGTTTGCAGCAGGGTGCTGCTTACTCACCAGTGGGGGCATCATCCCTTTGCTTGATGGAGGGATAACAACCCTTAGGTCTGGCTTGCGGCCTCCCATTCCCATGTTCCCTCCAGGAGGCGGTGGAGACTTGGTGGGCATGACTTTACCAAGGCCATTGCCGCTAGATGTGCTGAGGAGGCCTGGCGAACCCCTAGGGTTGACGAAACCATTCCCTGCAGAGATGCACAGCAACAGAAACACATCATCAAACCATGGACTGTGACTGGCAATGCTCCCAGTCATCAAAAGGAACCTCTCACATCTTGCTGTTTTCCACGACGCAGCGTTAAGTGTTTCCAACCCTCTGGGAAGTTTTAATCGACTCAGATAATTATCCTGCACATTTACAAAAATAAAATGTCCATTTTAAAATTGATGAGCCTTTTATTTTTTACTGTGAATGATTACATCAAAGGCAGTTCTTTGCATCTTGAGATGAGGAGCAGTTCGCTGACAAATGTACCGTAGCAGCTAAAAAGAAACGAGCGGGGCCATTGCAGTTGAATGAGTACAATAAAATGTTGTGCTGTGTTGTTTTGTCATGCAAACAACAGAAAAGTGTTAAGACTCAACTCTGAATGTTCACACCTTTGTGCTCTTGGTCATTAGTCACTTCCTTTTTTTTTTTTTTTAACAATTCATCCAGACAACATATTTTCTTTCTACTCCTTCCATTACACAACTACCGAATCTCCTGAAGAGGATGATTGTTATCACAGGGTGTGGACACATCATTTAAATTCAGCAAGAAATTCAAGTTGAGAAATACTTTTCACAGAGATGTGAGTGTTACAGACCGACACTTGTTAAGGCTTCTGTCCGAGAACATTTATACAACAGTTTTCTCAAACTGTTTCAAGTAATGAGCTGTGGCATTCTGCATAGCGTATCTGGGGGTAAAAAAATCTATGTATGCGAAGAAAACGTGTTTTGTTTTAAAGAAACAAATTTAGTTCTTGGCAGTGTGTCAGTTAAAACAGATTCTATGGTTCTGCAACAATTTTTCTGCGTGTTTCACAAGTGTTGCCATGTTTCAACATGGGTTTTGGAAAAGGTTTATTTGTTCTGTTTCTGTAAACCTATAATATCTATGAAAAAAGCAAGATAACGCATGACTCATCTGCACAAGGTCCACAGTGGGATTCAGTCATCTCCACACAAATACACACTAATGAAAAAAGCTAATTGGTATAAAACCAAAAATAATATTTCAAGTGCACTTGGGTTTTCAGACAGATCTGCATCATAAAAATCTGGGTAGGATTTATGTCGGAGGCAAGGTAAAAAATTAAAAATAACAATTCCTAAAAACGGGAAGAAGTTATGATTCATGTTATCCAGCGCAACATCAGCAGATCAGTAACACTTAACAAGTTGTTAAATTATTGTCTTCAGTGTACTCCAGCGAAAACACACAGTATCCACAACCAGGAGGCTCTTGCACAGAAACAGAATAGAACAATAGTCCCACTGACTTCAGATAAGGAGAGCAACAATTCATGGCCAAATAAACAGTTACGAAGCCTACAATGGCATCTCGCAGCTGAATCAACAGTGTGTACAAGCAGCTATCGCCATCAGCTCTGGCTTTGATCACACAAGACTTGGCTGCTGCAAGAAAACACTGTTTACAGAATTAGCAGAGTAAATGTCCAAGGCACCCCCTAAAATAGCAAGTTTGATTAGAAGCAGCAAGAATGTCATTTAGTGGGAATGAGAAGTTAGTGCAAATGAGATTTCATGTAAAGGAGCGGACAGCAAATGTGGCAAATTGGCACAAAAAGACCCGTCTGATGACACCAGGGGAGAGTGTTTCACTTCAGAAGAGGTCGGCCGTAAACTCCAAGTTGTTTTGGAGCAAAACAAGGTGAGGGAGATGACAAACAGGCTGTTTTCACAACAGACATTTTGACTTACAGGAGGAGAACCACCATCCCTATCATTAGAGGATAACTCCTGAGTCACAACGGCTACGCATTGTTGTTGTGATTTGTAACATCATTGCCCTTATTACACTCAGTGTGTTCAGTTAGTGATGTCACAAGTTAGCGCTCAATTACATGTTACTGTGTAGTAAACAAAAAGAAATATGACAGCGCAGCAACTGGTCAAGCAAACATCTGATACACCCTTCTGTTTAAAACAAAACCACTTTTAAGAAAAAGTTTAGGAATTTATTTTGTATATTCTGTGTAATCCTTACTATAGATGAGATTAAGACAACGTATTGGGTAATCAAAGGTTTTATAAATGTAAATAGTTGAAATTGAATTGTGCCATTAAGCTAATAAATCTGAAGTTATCTCATGACTTTACTTTATTACTACCATTGTTTTACTTACAGTGAAAAACATTGTGCTTAAAATCAGGTAGAACTACCTGGTTTGTTTGCATCCAAATAATATGTATATATATATATATATATGTATATATATATATATATATATATATATATATATATATATATATATATATATATATATACATACACACTTTCATTTGATTTTATCATGAACAGAGTTGCCATACATACAGGTATGGTACCTTTTTCTCAACTACAATTAATATTGTTGGCTGTTCGTGTAATAAATAATAACTAAAATATAGCAAAAACTATATTCCAAAGAATCTATGGGGGACAATGCTCATAGAGCGCTCATAAATAATACACACACAGACACACACACACACACACACACACACACAGACACACACTGGGGTGGGACTTGATTTAAAAAATCTAAATAATTGTAGATTTGTAATTTATTAATCTTGATTAATCACATTTAAGACAGTTTCTCCCAGGCATTTTTTTTTTTACAAGAAAAACAGGATGGCAATAAAACTACAGTCAGGTAAAGAAAATAATAATCAGTAATCATCTCAGGATGTTGTGATATCTGGTTATGTTTTCTAACTTGTTACATCCATAAAAAGACTGACACCAACCAAGAGACAAATATCAGTAAAACACACACACACACACACACACACACACACACACACACACACACGCACGCACGCACACACACACAATAATAAGCTGGATGCTTTTAATGTGGAGTCTTATTCATGTAATTACTCTGTGTCAGACAAATGACGGTATCCATCCAAACGTTGCTACTGAATTATCACTAGAATACAACTGTAGTCTTATCTGAGATGTATTATGGTGGATAATTGCAACAAGTCAAATCAATGCCAGTAGGAACATATCTGCAAACAAAGACCTAAACACTATAAAGTTAATTCTGAGCCAAGACAACAGAGACAAGTTAGGCTTTCAGGACGGAGATTCTCAGGGTGTTTCTGCCTGCCCTCATTCTATATTCAGACTTCTCACTGGAACTCCTCAGTGACTGAAACCTGTGCCTGGTGAAAGCTGTTTGGTTTCTGTTCATCGTCCTGAATTATTAACACGCTATGGAAAGGGGCATTACATAAGACCTTATGTTTACAACTAAGGCATTCCGTTTTCATTTTAAGTTCAGGGATAGAAAACACTTTACTGTTCCCAGCATCCGACGTGTGTTAGGTTCAAGCACGGAAAAAAAAAACATGCTTGTAAGAGTGAGAAAACATCTTGGAAACAAGTCAAAAGACATCAAAAGACAGTTTTCAAATAATCTGACTGATGCATGGACTCCTTATTGTGTCTGTGAGGAATCATTCAGATGAAATTGCACAAAGATTTCGTTAACAAACCACCATCCATTATCGTCCACTTATCCGAGGTCGGGTCACAGGGGCAGCAGTCTAAGCAGAGAGGCCCAGACTTCCCTCTCCCTAGCCACTTGGGCCAGCACCTCTGGGGGAATCCTACGGCGTTCCCAGGTCAGCCAAGAGACATAGTCCCTTTTTGCAAGACACACCATGATGGCAAATTGTCTTATAAATGCGCCATGCAACCATGGCGCAACAGAGGGAGGTGGGGAGAGGGGACGTGGGGGGGCTAATGCTTAGCTCTGGCTGACAAACATATTGAAAACGAAAGTGAACATGGGCAATAAGCGTCTCTCTGTTAGATCTGAAGCTCAGATCACCAGGGACTTTAGAAGCGGCTTGTTAAAAAAATGTGATGATCGCGGCTTCCATTACAATAAAAAGCAAGTTGTGTCCAAGATAAACGGAAGTCCGCTGCATCGCAGAGACCGCCCCCATAGTCCCTTTACGCCGCCATAGCCTAATATTTTCTAAAAAGGACACAATTGCGCCACATTACCGCTGCGGCCTGACCACTTATAAACGACCTAAGGTTCCCTTATGCCGCCACAGCGTTGCAACAACCCCTCCAGCGTATCCTGGGTCTTTCCTTGGGTCTCCTCCCAGTTGGACATGCCAAGAAAACCTCACCAAGGAGGCGTCCCGGAGGCACTCTAACAAAACCTCAACTAGCTTCTCTCGATGCGGAGGAGCAGAGGATCTACTCCGTGCTCCTCCCGGATTACTGAGGTTCTCACCCTATCTCTAAGGGGGAGCCCAGACACCCTGCTGAGAGAACTCATTCCGGCCGCTTGTATTCATGATTTATTTTTTGTTCACCACACAAAGTCTCTGGATCAGCCCTCTCTTCACCACGACAGACCGGTACAACGCCCACATCACTGCAGACGCAGCACCAATCCGCCTATCGATCTCACACTCCATTTTCCATCACTCGTTAACAAGACCCCAAGATATTTAAAGTCCTCCACTTGAGGCAGGGCCTCATCCCTGACCTGAAGAAGGCGTTCTACCCTTTTCCAACTGAAGACCATGGTCTAGGATTTAGAGGAGCTGATTCTCATCCCAGCTGCTTCACACTGAGCTGCGAACCGCTCCAGCCAAAGCTGGAGATCACGGTCTAATATGTTTTTCTTACAAAAACTGTTACCCCAACTTTCCACCAGATGCATATATATATCACCTAATGACCCTGAAGCGTAATTTGTGACCTCCCCCCAAGCATGAGTTACATTATTGTTTGGGGAATTTTCTTTCTAATGCCTTTCACCTACTCAAGCCTGCTCTCCAAATTCCACTGCAACATTCCACATCAATTTGTGCTTTGGAGCTCGACAGATTTAAAGTCAATTTTCTTATTAGTTAACGTGTGATAACCGTGATATGGTTTGATTTTAGCCCGATGGGAAGAGACAGTGGGCACTGGTCTGCGAGTCAAAGATCACCACTCTTTAGAGGTAAAACATTACTTGACAAAATAAACTTGACTTGAAAAGTTTTAGTATTGATGAGTGATCAATGCAGCTTCAATTACCTGAAATCAATCACTTAAATAATCCTTTTCACTACAACTTTCTCACCAGTCAAGAATGTAATTAGTTGTAATGATGTGAGTAGTTGGGGGAGATATTATAAACAAGACAAGCTGGAGTGCACAAAGTGCTGCAGTTTGAAATGAACCTCAAAGAAAAGTTGGTATTAGCTGTTGAGCCACTAGCTCACCCAAGGACAAGCACAGCAGATGGATTTCTTTTTACATAAAGACAAGAGGAAATAGTTTGCTAACAAATGTTGCCGGTAATGTTCCCTGCAGCTCTGTAAATGCATCCGTGTGCTTTTATAAGACATTTAAACAAATCCAAATCCTGCAATCAGAGTTGTGACACAGATCCAGCAGACTGTAGCGTCTCCCTTCTCTTTCACGCGCACGTCGTCAAACAGCAGAGGAGATATCAGACAACACATCTTCCATCTGGCCTCTTTGAAATGCCTCGGCTGCGGTCATCATAGCTGCAACTTGTGAAAAATCATAACCGTGTCAGCTATGGTCAGCTGACATCAGGGTCGGTGAGGTTTGTCCTCCGAGTAGTTTGTGCTCCTCTGTGAACTCGATACAAACAACAGCTGCAGCACACTAACGCTGCCAAACGCTGACGGGTCGCTGGCAGGAGCTCGGCCTCGACCTGTAACCACACCAAACGCTAAACCCCGCAACCCTCTTTAAACTGGCCTCTGGTGGTCGTTGCGTTGTCTGGCTGATGCCTGATCACCCCTCAATTTCAAATAACATCGTGTAAATGTTCCACTGCTCTGTGACGACAAATACTAGCACTCGTGTGGAGAACAACAAGCTGAGTCTCAAGGAAAGAGTTGAACTCCACCTGCTTTCACAACTCATAGAGCACATGTCAGCCTTGACAGCTTCTTCGGTCATTGTGTACTGAGGACTTGGTGGGTGGGTTGACATGGCCTGAATAGCTACAGGGTTAAGCTAGTTTAGGCATCTCCACCGACCCGCTGCAGTCTTATAAGGACTGTAAGGGTAGGGGGTGGGGGTGGGGTGGGGGGCAGATGCACCTGTCAGTACATGGAAAAAAACTGTGTACGGGACAACGAGGAGGCAATGATATTAAAAGAGGCAACGTGGATTTTGTTAACCTGCTGATATCAGTGGGGCAGCTGATTGACAAAACAGCTATTTTCAGATCACTTTGCATGCAATAAATATATAATTTCCTTCTATTTACTATCAGACGGGGACAACGGTCTTGAAGAAGTCCCAAATAGAAATGAGTCTATCCAGCCCATGTGCTAAGCAGGAGGCCTATTGGGCAGAGCTACAGAGAGCTAATGAATCTCTCCGGGAGGACTTACCCGCTGGGCTGCAGCCCGCACCACTTGGCACTGAAAGGTCTGTGGTATCCAGCATGCCACCTAATGAGATGCACAGAGTGATATGATTAACCATCTGCATCCTTCTGCAAGCTAGCAGAGCATGCAATGGAGATGCCAGACCAGACACAAGAATGTCAAGCAGATCTGTTTTCACGGCACACAAAAGAGTTGGCTTCAGCGTCCTCTTGGTGGGGAAATTTGTATTTTAAATATGAATTAAGTGAGTGATTTGAGCATATTGGTTGTTCTCTACATGCTATTAGTTGGAGCAGTCCACTGTGAGGATGTAGCTTCAGCAACCAGTTATTTATGCTCTTGGAAAGACGACGTTCATCTGAGCTTTAGGACTCCCTGTGGAGAGGCTCAAACAATAACTCACCACTAGCATGCCATGTGAAACCACATGTTTTTTCCAAGCTTTAGAAACAAGCTAGTGTATAAAAGTGAAATAGTAAGTGACAAGGAAAAGGAAGTGAAAGAAAAGCTACTTAAAATAACAGCCCATCAGTGAACCCAGTGAATGAGGACGCGCCAGCCGGCTTTGATGTGTGGTTAAATTTGAATGAGATATTTTGCACCTTGTGACGTGTACCTGCACTGTTTGCAGCAAAGCTGAATTTTGCAAAAGCTCTCTGGGCTGACTGAGCCAGACCAGTCATACCAGTTCTAGTGCACCTGACATAATTTTTCCACAAAGCTATTGCAGTTCAAAGGTGCGATGAAGACAATGTTAAAAGGTGAGAAAATAGATGAGTGCAACATTAATTGGCATTAAAGGGATAGTTCAGACCAGCCGTGTCCAAACCTTTGACCACACGGGCCCAAATCATCAACTTGAAAGTACTCACAGGTAAGGTTATCTTGCCTGTTGTAGACATCTGTTTGACCAACCTCAGTTTGGTGAAACAGAGATTAGTCCTGACCAGATTGACAAGCTAACAGCTAGTGTGAACAAAGTGGCTAATTGTTGATTTACAGCAAGTCTTATCTAAAAAATATGAGGTTTTTGCAAGCAGTACTGGTGAAATGTTACGTTACATGAACCTTATAACACAGAATTCTGATGGTATTTTGAAGCATGGATAGCACATGGCTAGCATCGCAGGGGACATAAATGTCATTAAAACATCTGTATATACACCAAGGATGTTCCTCATATTCAATGCATTTTTCATTTAACCACTTTTATTTGTAGAGAAATAAATAGTTGTAACAGAAATTAGATGAGAGGAAATGAACCAAAACCATTTCAGTGCACCATGCAAGAGGCTGGAGCTAACTGCTAGTCTGTGTAGCCAGAAATAAACCTGTTTAGCCACACCTTACTAATTAAAACACTGTATTTTATTCACGGCACAAACTACAATTAAATAGAAATTAGTTGAGTATTTTCTCAAGCCTTGGAGAGAACCACATTTGCTTCGTCCCATTACTTCCAGTGTTCATGTGAAGCTCTTATTTAACACAGACGTGAGGGTGATATTAATCTTCCCAGCTAACTGAGCAAGAACGTCAATAAAATCTGTGTGATATTGGCACAACGGTGGTGTTAAATAAATAAATAAAGCACCGCCATAGCAAAAGCAGTTCATCCACCACTTTGACAAATTGTCTGGGATTGTTGTCTACTAACCTGCACTGCCTGCACTTGTGGGCCTCTGAGAGCCTCCGCCGGAGCCAACATTCCTGTGCAGAGAGGCCTGCGGAGGGGACAGCATCCCACTCTCACTCAGAGAGCTTGCGGCTGCTGCCAGGGCCTGGCTGCCCAGATTCCCTCCTGCCTGGTACATGGCATTAGGATTGGATACTGGCACTGCCACATGCATGGAGAAGTTCTGCTGGGGCAATGCTGTGGGCTAGAGCAAGGGGACACACACACATATGCAAATATTTACACACAACACACTCAAAATGCAAGATCTGATGACACTGATGAGCAAGTGGTTGTCAAATTCACAAATTCATCTGGCAGATTTCCTTAAATAAAACAAAAATGAATCATAACTTATACAAATGCAGTAAATGAAGCATAACATATTGACACAAATGTGCATAATACATAATAATAAACCAGTCAATCCACAATAAACCTTTAGTAATTCATGGAATACACAAAACAAGGTGAACCAAAACATGAACAGAAAATACAAAATAACATGCATAAATCTGATCACTTGGCAACGCTGCAGTCAGCACTTCAGACGTGCACTCTGTCATAAAAAAATCTTGATGCAAAAACGAAACTAGTGGTGGGAAAGCTACAAAAATCACAAGTAATCTGCATCTGCTTTCAAAGTGCTGACTGTGCAAAGCCATGAGTGACAACGACAGGTAGCAGTAAAAGCATTTCATCATCACATTATCCAGTTAGGTGTGGTCATTAGTTGGTTAATGGCAAAGAAAACACATGTTTAGTACATTCTTGTTCATGATTTTTACAGATCCGTGAGGTTTCTTTCCTTTTTAAGACCCGATGCTACTCTAGCATACAGAAAATGGGTTACATGATCAAGAAACAATCACATATGTTTATTATTTCCTTTGCAACAGCTTGGAAATCAAATCTGAGTGTGGAGAGAAAAAAAAAATCCTCCCCACACAAGCAGCTCTTCACATTAAAGAATCACAATCCTTGCAAAGTATTTACTGTGTGTTCTAATGAGGTAAAACAGTTAGTACTCTTGAGTTGATGCCAACCATACCCATGATAATAGGGTGTGATCTTTTTAGCAGAAGCATGCAACATTTCATTTGTTAATAAAAGAGATCATATAAGGGTGTGCCAGAACAGCGCCAGCAAAACAAATCAACACAGGAAACAAACGCACACCCCGTAACGGAGCATTAATCTTAAGGTGGCTCTAAGAAGAGTTAACAAAGGTTGTGGAGGGTAACATAAAGATTAAGATGTTAAATTAACAAATTAATAAATAAATAATAACTAAGAGGAAGAAACTCCTTTGTGCCACAAAGCCAAGCAAGAACATTGCATTTTACAGTACTTACGATTTTATGATTTCTCATCATATTATCAAACTCCTCATTAATTTTTTTATACTTTTCTTCTGTGTGAGGAGTGAGGACATATGAGGCATCGGGATCCGGGCTATCACAACCTCTGTGTTCTTTCTTGTTTAGCGCCTGTGGTGAACATCGACATAAAGACAGAAATCAACACAAAATGGCAGGAGACGATAAAAAGTACTTACACCGCAGCGCTTGTACATTAAATCACTGTCTTCGCTTAGTTTGCCGAAATGGTCATCCATGAGGGGGCTGTGCCCAAAACAGTCATCAGGATCGGGACTAGCACAGTCATTATGGCCCTTGTTTCTCAATTTCTGAAATGAAATTGCACAGTTGAGAAGGCAAAGTATGCACAATGTGGAGGTGTTTTCTTTTAATGTGTCTAACTTACAGGACTGTGCAAATATCTGAAAGGTCATGTTCACTTATATTTTCAATACATTCGCAGTGGTTTCTAATAAATGTCTTGTAAGTCATTTTATGGAGGAAAAAGCTTAGATGTTCCTATTTGAGGACGTGGAAGTTAGCTGAAGGAGAAAGTGGGAGCAGATGTTCTATTTGGCCATTAGATGCTTCTTGGTTGGGTCAATTTCCTTAGTAACATAGGGCTACACAGGAAACCAAACACGGCATGAGTAGAAATGTGTGGTTATTTTCTAAATAAAAGACTATTGCTGTGATGCGATGTCTTATTTGTGTAGGTTACACCAAAACACGTGACCTAACGGCACATTTACTCCCAGCATCCTTTGAGAAGCGCCACGGTGAGTTTGTCATGGCTTTAATCCCGGCAGTGGAGAGGCACAACATTATATATGAGATCCAACAGGGATATCAAACACGATCTCCTTTTTCTTCTTGGTTTATTGGAGGATGGCATAAAAAAATACGTGACCTTTGAAATCTCGAGGGATTTTGTGATCTCTCAAGTCCAGCAAGGAGGACAGCTGAGATTATGCGCCGTGTCTGAAATGCTCCCCGGTGTGGATTGGCGTGCCACTGCCATTCTGCATCACCAATGCCTCCAGTGTGGATTTCTGGTTACTCCCTGATATTCGGACATCTGGCGTCTGATTGGCTAACAGCAAACGCAACTCTACCATCTTGTTGATGCTTTTTCTCTATGAATAACACAAGCTTGTGGGAGTTTTGCCATGTTGTGGAGTTGCCAACAGTTACCTTCTACTAGCCGAGGTGTTCTCTGCTGTTTTCTGGACACTAAAACAACAACAGACTTCCCCGTCGTGAACCAAGATAGGTGAGTACATGAATGCTAAGTGACAGCATGATGTAGATCTGTCATGCTTTTCTGAACCAAGTGTTTTTCCATCTATCAGGTAGAGACAATCACGTTTAGCCTGCAGAGTGACCGATCATTTTCAGCAACAATAAGAAACACTTGTTTATCAGTGAACCTGCCCTTTAATATGTTAAGCTCCTACAAAGGTGTCTAATCTGACCCCCAGAAAAGTATTCTGAAAAACACACAGCGAGAACCAAGAAGCAAACAAGTTCTGCAGCAGATGGCGTGACCCCCACTGAGGTCTTTTTTTAACATTATTGAGTCAGTCAGGGATTGCATGAAGATGCAGACTTAGCCTGAAACCACAGAGGAAATGTAGCATGCTGTCCAAGATGTGCGCAACAGCCCACCAGCGCAGTACCTTGATCAAAACTCTTTTACACACACACACTAAAGTCTTTGAAACTGTTCCTTCTCACGACTAAAGTTGCACTTGAAACTTCTTATTTTGTCACCTTGCTGTTTCCACTCTTTAATCTATGTGACCACCTTCTTTTCATGCGTTTGCATTTTTCATTGCATTTCCGTTACCACGGTTCATCCATCTGGAGGACGGCAGATCAACTCTGTTATTCACACTGTTATCAATGTCAATGCATGGCTACAAATGATTATCAAATATGCTTAATTGAGAACAAAATTGAGCAGTTATCGTACAAGCAAAAGTTTATAAGTATATATATAAGGTGTCTTTTTTAACCTTATGAAGGAAAAAAGTAGAAAAAGTTAACAGAAATATATATTCCGTGGATCCTTTGCTCCATTTTTTACAGGCTGTTCTCTGCTCCTCATTACAGCTCTGAATAGCGGTGTTAACAAGACTTGCTGACAGCATGTGACAGCTTGTGATATCAAGGAAGTGTACATCAAAACATGATTTATGTGTGGCTCTCAAGACTCCTCTATCAGGCTGCTGCAGGTCCACAACAGTGGCATGCCCCGTCTGTGGGTCGCCTCTGAAGCCTCGTCTCTACAGGAAGGTCACTGACTCCTGTGGATGTGGGGGGTCAAAGTGTGAGCCAGAGAAAAGGAACCTACACACATTAATGAGACCTTACTCTGTGTTTCTGGTCCTCATCATCTGGCAAAGTGGAAAACGTGTGTGTGTGTGTGTGTGTGTGTGTGTGTGTGTGTGTGTGTGTGTGTGTGTGTGTGTGTGTGTGTGTGTGTGTGTGTGTGTGTGTGTGTGTGTGTGTGTGTGTGTGTGTGTGTGTGTGTGTGAGACCAAGAGAAAAGGAAACTCTGAGCTAGACTGTGTGATGCACATGTGCAACGTCTGTATGCCGTGTGTATGTGTGGGAAGTAGAAGGAGGAGTGGGGAGGAAGGTGTTTCTACAGCTGCTGCATCCTCTGACAGCGATGTGATAGTATGCTTAGGTTTGTGCAGAAAATGCGGCTAACCCAGCGCCCCGCACCACAACCTCAGAATAAGCTGCATTTCCTAAAACTCTGCGCACCGGCCCAGTTGAACTCCGGCACAAATCCCCGGCTTGTTAAGAACAGATGATGGTAAGCATCTAACTGCTCATTTTGCTGCTGTTTGTTTAGAAGCATCTGTTTTTTGGAGGGCATTTTGAGGCACAATAAACAATGTTAATACGCGCAGTGCACACAGAAAGGAAGTTCAGGAAAAAGACAGCCACATAATTGTCCACAATGCCCAGAGGAGAGCAAGGGAGAGAGAAGCCCTCTGGATAATGAATGACCATTGCTGTACCACAGTTGCATTACTGTTTGGTGTGGTATAGAGCAGAGGCATTCTTCTCATTCTAAGAAAACGCCTTGCCGGTTCATTTCCTGTTTACTAAAACAACCCTTCTTTAGTTAGGGTCCTGAAAGGCCTGTGTTTACTGGAGTTAAAACTATGCACTTTCACCACCGCCAAGCCAGAGATCATCTGATCTCAACCTGCAAATTTAGGCCTCCAACCTGCTAATTATGGGAATATTTCGGTCGGACTGGTCGGGCATGGCTGCGCGAGACGGGCAGGGCTGCTCTACTTTCACAACAAGCCTGGCTAGTCTTCAGCACGCCGCACCCATTGGCTCAAGCCATTTAGGGAGGTGTTGCAGCCACATTTCAAGCAAGCAGCAACTTAACTGTAGCACTCAGGAGCAAACAGGACTTAGATCTTCTTATTAATGCATGAAGTGAGTCAATATATCCATATGTGATCTGAAAGGTGTTGTATGTGTAGCACTGTAGACTTGAGGAGGCGCGGGTTTTTACTTTACTCGCGACTTGCCTCACAGATGCTTTCCTCAGCTTCCAGTAAACGGATCACTAAATAAGGACATTGCCAAACAGGTGCACTTCTTCCAAACACCTGTCAAGACCTGGCTGCTACTGCTGACCAATCACCGGGAACCCTGCAGAGACATGACCATAGCAGGGGATGCAGCCCTGAGGCCCACCTTATATCGCAGCGCTGATTACTCCTCCAGACACGACAAAATTAAACGTTTCCATTTCTCACATGATGAAAGCAGCTTTAAAATGCTTTTTAAATCACCCAGTGGGGTTCCTGCTTGGGAAAGAAGAGCTGGCCGGTCGTGAATGCAGCTGAGATATGGGCTGTTTGTTACGAGGAGAGAGACACAACGACAAGTCATCCTCACAAAGATGACTGAGAGCAAGGCCAGCTGTCTTTTTTTTCTTTTTTTTCTCAGAACAGCGAAACCTGTACGAAGAAAAAAAAATGGCTCTTCTAATAAAAATAAAAGCTCACATATTGGTCACTATTGTCTGTGAGTGCATCAGTGAAGGTAAGTTATTTTACTGATGCAATGCTTCATCTTCACTTAAAAAAAAATAACATATTTCAAACCAGAGGAGGCCTTGGAGCTTCCTCGTCCAGAAGAAAACATCCATCTCGCATCTCCATTTGAGCCCTGGTTATTAACCTTGCTGTTACCATGGGAAACATTCGGCACAGTAATTGCCTCCTCTGGTTTGCAGCTTAGGCTCAGGACGAGAGGCTGCACAGTGCCGTGAAAGGTAACCTTGAGTTCCATCTCGGTTTACCATTAGGATACATTTTGTCTTTCGCACAAGTGCAACAATTAGGACAGTTCCAGAGTGTGTCATTTGGAGTTACTGCACAACATTTTGCACTTTGATGCTCTATTCTGATACACTATATACTCTTCTACTCAAAAACATCTCATTCTAATGTCCCTCCTCTTGTGTTTAATACCAGCAAGTATAAACAGAGGACAAGCAGAGTGAAAATAGGAATATAGTGGTTGTTTTATAAGTTGAGTTGAAATGTGTGTAGGACAAAAGAGGACAGGATGTCTTCCATTATGGCTGTGAAAGGCTAAAGCAGCTTTTCCTATAGGTAGAGCTCCACCGGACCTCTGAGCTCACTGGCTCCACCTGACAGCTCAGACGTAAGCCTTCCTCATGGCTAAACAACCTGTAGTGAAATAAAGTAGAGTATATCATGAATATTTTGGCCATTCAGTGTTTGTTCCGGCCTTCTCTTAAGTACACAGCTGCCATATTTTAACCAGTTGAGCAGCAGCCAGCCTTCACCTCATTTCCCCCTGCCCTTCTGGCTCTGCAACACCATGAATTAGCCCTTGTGCCTGTGTCTGCACCAAGCAAGGTAGCGTGTTAATCCTCATGACATCACCATTGTGTCCGGGCTGTTCCCTATAATGTGCTTATCAAAGGGCCTCTTTGAGAGTAAATGCACTAAGAAATCATCACGGGGAGGTGGCTGATAGGAGAGCTTTTATCTGCTGAGGAATATTTCTGCTCTTACATAACATCTTAAGAGACTTTCACTTCCATCGTGTTCCCTTTTCCCCCTGCGGTGATGCAGTCTTCACTTAAGGGGGAATAAAAGCCCCTTTAGTTTGGTATCTATGGCTTGTATGCCACAGTCCAGCACTAGGTTACTGTAATGTAGAAATCCTTCCTCTGTCTTCATTTCTCACCACATACTGAGAGACGAGGGCCGAGGCCTTTAAGACAAGGGAGGCACTGTAATTCCCAGACATATCT